ATTAAGGTGCTCCAGTGAAGTACCCAACATAAGAGAAAAGAAAAGGGAGTTTCTCTCAGTGACCTGGCCAACAATCCTCCAAATACAATTGGTCATGGAAAACATAGAAAACATAGAAACATAGAAATAGGAGTAAGCTATTCAGTCCCTGAAGCCTGTTCCGCCATTTTATAAGATCATGGCTGATCTGTACCTCAAGTCCAATTACTCTCCCTTGCCCCATATCCCTTAATACCCTGACCTAACAAATATGTATCTACCTCCGTCTTGAAAATGTGAATGGATCCAGCATCCATAGCCTTTTGGAAGAGAGTGTTCCAGATTTCCATTATCCTTTGGGTGAAAACTGCCTCCTAATTTCACTCTTAAATAGCTTAGCTCTAATCTGAAGACGATGCCCCCTTGTTCTGGATTTCCCTACCAGAGGAAATAGTTTCTCTGTATCTACCCTATCAAATCCCTTTATTATTTTAAAAACCTCAATCAGATCAGCTCTCAACCTTCTAATCTCAAGGGAATAGAGACCGTGGTTAGGCACCTGTCATCATAATTTAAGCCTTTAAGCCTTGGTATCCGTCTGGTGAATCTGCGCTGCATCCCCTCCAGAACCAATATATCCTTCCTGAGGTCATTCACTTCATGGCTGTTTGTGGAACATTGCTGTGTGCAAATAGACTGCCGAGTTCTCCTACGAATACACAGTCACTCCGCTTTACAGTAAATCCTGGGAGGCACTTTAAGACATCTCTCACATGAAATCAAATACAAGGATTATTATATAACACCTTCAACATAAATTTTTCATTCATGTAAAGTGAAACATGATGGAGGGGGGTTCTATCATGTGCAAACCATGTGCAAACGTGTATCATGGTACATGAAAAAGATTTGTTGTTAATGAGATCATTAAGTCCATCTGTAATTCCCTCTGCAGTTGGGGGATGACGTATGGTTTACAGAGATGCATAATACGCACCACTATGAACCCACCTTTTGCTAAACTGCAGACACTATATTTGACATAAAACCTGTTGTTAAATTGGTTTGTAACTCATTGTAAAATATGTGAATGGAATTTTTTTACAATAATGGTACATCATGGTACATCATCTACGTCAATAGTGGTGACCCATGGCCCTCAAGGGAGTCAAGAAGTGGCCTGCTAGACATTCGTACCAGTCTAGGTAAGTCTGTGATAAATCAATACTGTACAGTATTTTGTTTCCAATAGCTACCAAGTGGTAATATTTATGGTGTGGCCATAAATCAAGAAATATTCAATCAAGAAAAATGTATTTGGTTGGCCAATCAAAAATGTTGGTCACCACTGATCTACTTCTTTTCTCATATTCCTATTTATATCTTTTGTTGAAAAGAAAATTCCATGGCTGCTTTAAACTTTCATAGTGCTATGTGCAAGTCTCAGTACAATTATACCTTACGTAAAACTCTTCAGGCATAGTTCTTTATTTCATAACTATTAACCCTGATGTGCATCTCCAATATGCATCATTACACTCTAGAAAATGACAATTTCTTTGCCTTCTTTGCCTTGTATTCTTTTTACTCCACATTGGGAATTATTGCAATTTAGCAAATTGATTTGGATGATCAAGAAACATGATCTGGATTGGTACAGATATTAAAAAACAATAGGAAGGGTGTTGGGTGGATGGGTAGATGGTTCCTTGAATGAGTAAACACATCCAACTGCGCAATAGGAGTTTCTATGTTCTATGACAGTGAGGCGCAAAATCAGTACGTTTATGGTGCCACCTTACTGGCCAACTGAATGGTGCCCAAATCTGTCCCACTACAAAAGGACTGCTCCATCTGTCCGTGTATCTTCCAGTATGGCTGCCAACCAGATACTTACAAAGATTTACAAAGAATGTACAGCACACGAACAAGCCACTCAGCCAACCAGTCCTTGCCAATGTCTATACTCCACACAAGTTTCCACCGACTCCTTACTCTCTCCTGTAACCTTCTATTCCCCTCTCCTTCATGTGAAGGTCTAGCTTCCTCTTGAATGCATTTAGTTATCCAATTCTTTATTGGAGGAAATAATCAACACAACATAAACTAGAAGTCTGTCCTATGTAACTACTACTCTTGCTAATCTCTAGCCTCACTTGAAGCTTGTTAATTTCAAATCTATGTCCTCTGTGCCTCTCAGGATTTTAAAGCTCTACATCACGTTTTCTTGCCCTCTCAATCTTCATTTCTTCAGCTTAATGTATTTGTCATTCCTACAGTTCACTCCAGTAGCAGAATCTCAAACCAAGCTCTGTGTGTGGACTGTCCTGGTGAGATTTTGAAGTGGTTGACGGTTGAGGAATAAATGAATCTCTTTATTGGCTCCACACTGTACACGGATAGCACACATTCAGCGTCCTGCACAACCCACTCTGACAGCTCACTTCACACAGGCTTAAATGGTTTTACTTTACATTAAATATTAGATCAAATTTAAAATGGCCTGCATGTGCATAGGTGTCAAGAAATAGAAAGAAATAGAATTTTAAGCACTTAAACCAAAACAATTGCCAGATACTGAAATTCAGATTCTGAAATGCTCTGTTCACAATAAAATGTCAATATTTCACTTACTCTTTACCTAGAGGGTAAGCTATATCCTCATCCCTACTTTTATTCAACAGTATAAGTTTCCATCATTTTGTATTCAAATGTTTCCAGATCTTGGGCTCTAATTTACGGGTTGGGTTAACCATGGGCAATGGGGAAACTACAGGCTCCCTTAATTACATAATTGACAACTAATGAAAAGGATTCCAGGTTATTCTGTGATACATTTTTCATTGTTTTTTAATTATTTAATTAAGGCACTTGTTATTCCCTCTACATACTTCCACATAGTTTATATATCCTTTGTTCATTGCATTCCAATGGGAGAAAGACACCTTACGAGACTATTCTTAGGACCTGAAAAAGAAATGCAAAGGGTAATAATAATAATAATCCTTGTATTCGATATAGCGCCTTATCACATCTTCAAGACGTCTCAAAGCATTTCACAGAATATACTGTCCAGTGAATTGACTGTATATTTTGTGGGCGAAACACGGCAGCCAATTGCACACAGCAGTGTCTCACAAATAGTAGTGGATTGAGTGACCAATTTATTATTATTTTTACAATAAATTTTTATAACCTGGAAAAGCAATCCACCAATCGACTAACAATCGGGTTCCTACTTACTGTTAGGTAAACAGAGGCATGCGAAGTAAGGAAATTGTCCAACGTTTCGCCCTGCCGGGAATCGAACCCAGGTCACTCGCTTGCAAGGCGAGTGCTCTAACCACTGAGCTACAGGACTCCATGGTCAAGTCCGATTCGATAACTACTATTAAAAACGCGGTGGACAGGTATTTGAAGAGGACGGGTTTGCAGGGTTATGGGGAAAAGGCTGGGAAGTGGGATTGACATTAATTGCTCTATTCAAAGAGCCGGCACAAACTCGATGGGCTGAATGGTCTCTTTTTGTGCTGTATGATTCTATGAAGAAAACATGGTGATAATAAAAATACATCATTGGGTGAAATTTATGGTTTCATAACAGATTCGACATGATTCAAATTGGTACCTTGTGAACCATCAATGAAATTCCTCAGATGGCAACCGTACCAGTGGTAACAAAAATTGTGGTATTAAAATCTTCAAACCAGTTTTGAGCCTAAACACTGTGCCAAAAACAGGAGACAGCGATGTCACGTTGTGGGCACTCTATAGCACTACATCGGAAATTGCGATGAGTCTTAATAGATTCCATGTGAATAGTATCCATCTATTCTATTAATCTGGTAAGGAACACTGCAATTCCTTCCCCCCCTCCACCCCGCATGTGATGTTTTTGTACAAATCTGATAAGGAATTAGTTCCAACAATTGCTTGCAGTTCTCTGAGTGCATTAATATTTGTTACATCTGCTCAAGTTATTCTGGTATTTATAATAATAACCCTTGCATTTAATATAGCATTTTATCACATACTTCCAGTTTGTTCTTTCCAATTTCCACTTTGATCTTTCCATCAATAAAACTTCCTTTCATTTAAAACGTTTAACTGGGGAAAGTCAGACAGAAGATAAACAACTGGACAACTCAAAGCTTCTGAATAACCTTTAAAACCAGCCGGAGAAAGTATCATTATCCAGCAACTTCAGATCAGCTTGTGGTGAATCCTATACTGCTGTCAAGCAACCTTCTTTTGTTTCAAAGTGTATTTAGCCTTTGGTCTCTCCAGGCTATGTAGTAGCTGTCGGCAAGAGCGGTTAGATGGTTTACTTGCAGGCCTTTGTCGATGATGAGCTGGCTACTAGGAAGTTCCTGATGATATTTCTCATTTCAATTTTCCTATCTTTTAAAGCAGCACCTCTGGCCTGTGGTTGGCATCTCTGCACCACAAAGGTGTCAGCTTGGCTCAGTTGGTAGCACTTTTACCTCGAAGTCAGAAGGTTGTAGGCTCAAGCCCCATGTCAGGACTTTGAGCTCATAGTCCAGGCTGATACTCCAAAGTAGCACTTGGCAAGCACTATTTAAACTACTATTGTTTGGATTAGACATTAAATCGAGGGGTCTGTTAAGGTGCACGGAGCAGAATCCCAAGGGGCTATCCTAAAAGATTTTGTCCCTGTATCTTGGCCAACAATTCCCCAAATAAAACTGATCATTCACATCATGTCTGTTTATAGGACACTGCTGTTCAAAAACTGTCTGCCACATTCACCTACAAATATACAGTGATTAGAGTAAATCCAATGAACCATTTTGAGACATTACAATAATGTGATAGGGCTCTACATCAAACGGTGGGATGATTTTTACTATAATAGGCTGAGATTCAGTGAGATGGGGGATTCAAAGTTTCATGTGCAGTGAAAGGTACAGAAATAGCTTTGGTAGTTTTGCAATAATTTGTGGGATCTTAAAACTCAATTGCAGAAAACAAGAACCATGTAAATACAGAAAGAGGCAATATTGCATTCAAATTAATTTTATTAGTAGGTGATAGAATAATATGCACACCAAAAGAATAAATGCTGTAGCACAGGATATAACCTCACCAGCTATTCACTAAAACTCTGATGTACCACTGTTGCTCTTGCAACCCATGTCCTTTGTGGCATTTGTTTGAATACAGAAGTCATATAAACCTCGCCACAACATGCCTTCAAAGAAAGTCTCATTGAGTCTTATAGGAACTCATGTATACGAGGCATAATAGCAAAAGGTTGAGAGGAGACCCGATAAAGGTTTAAAATTATGAGGGGTTTTGTTAAAGCCAATTACTACTGCTCAGAGTCGGTTACTGAAAAATATAGATTAAAGGTAATAAAAGAACAAATGGAAGGGTTAGCAATTTTTTTAAAAAAATTTTTTTTACACACAAATGGAATTTAGGACATGGAATGCCCTAGCTTGAACTATGGTTGAGGCAGAATCCATCTTAGCTTTTAAGAGGGAATTAGCAAAATATCTGAAAGGGAAAAATATAAAAGGGTGCAGAAAAAAAAATAGGAGAGTGAGCCTCAATAATTGTGCCAGATTACATTATTAATACGACTTAATTTGCTATATTTTGCAACAGGATTCCTTAGTTAAGAATCTAAACAGCGCAAATGGGAACTCCCTCTGATCATTCTCTTTCAGAGAGCAGGCACACACACAATGAGTTGAATGGTCTCTTCTGTGTAGTTTGGTTCTGTGGTATACCATTGAGAAATACAGCAAATTAGACCCTGTTTGCATTCATTTTCTCCTTAGAGCTAAGCTTTATGTCACAAAAAGTTATTGTTTTTTTCCTTCTTCCTTCACTAAATAATGGTTAGCCATAACTCTCCAACAACCTGTCTCAGCAAGTTACAGTCCAGGCTAGCAACCAGCTTCCGGGGACCATGCTTCCATGGCACAAAGACGTCACTAGTGGTCAGAGTCCCATTCTGAAGGATGATACTGCAATGGAAAAAGCAGTTTATTGTGAGATAAAACAGATCTGATGGCCGCGCTTTCAGTCACTACGCTCCGAAACTCGGGAACCCTCTCCCTCTATCTCTCAGCCTTGCCCTCTCCTTCACCACCTTCAGATTGTGCCTGAAGACCTTTCTCTTCGATCGTGCCTACAAGTCACTTGTCCCTTCCTTCAGCTCGGCGTCATACTCCGCCACTGTCAAGCTCTCTGAGACTCTACACTGCATGAGGGGCACTATATAAATGCAAGATCTTCTTGCACACATCAACAAGAAGTTGCAAATATAATAATCAATCTTGGTTATAATCTAACATAGCCAAGGTTACTACAATTAAAACCACCCGGAACCTCTACCCAACCTTCTCTTAATTGGCCGTGTGTCAGCCCAGCTTAGTTGGTAGCACTCTCTCCTCTGAGTCAGGAGTTTATAGATTCAAGCCTCACATTGGGGCTTTGAACTTCATCTAGGCTGACACTCCCATGCAGCGTTCAGAGAATGTTGCATTGTTAGAGGTGTTGTCCTTCGAATGAAACAATAAACCAAGGCCCTGCCTGCCTGTTCATGTGGACATTAAAATCCCATTCGGAAAGAGAAGAGAATTTCTCCCTGGCTAACAATCTCCCAGATAAACCTGGTCAGGTTTGAATCCCAGTCTGTATTGAGTTAGCCAATCTCAGCCAGGCAGCAGTTTTGCTGGTACAATTGGCCTCAGTGCCCCGGGCTAGGGAAGAAGAGAAGTAGACAAGCTTCCCGGAGCTGATCAATACTCACAGTCCTCTCTCCCCTAATGAACCTTTGTTCATGTGTAGACGACAACAACAAATTGCATTTACACATCAGGAGGATGTTCCAAAGCGCAAGAGAGTCGAGGGTTTGCACCTATGCCTGGGGTTGGATTTGGGAAGGTGGGGGACTCAGACAACAACTGAGTATAGGGTTGAGCTCGGCTATGATGCCCTCTATGATCAAATAACCTGCCAGCAATCAATATCAAGGTGAACACATGAACAATGGCCACTTGGGTGAAGGCAACCAACACTTGTGAAATTTTGTGTCAATAAATGGGAAAAGGAGTCAAAGTGCCTTTAGGAGAGCAGAAGGTATGAGGAGTTGAACTGTAAGATCTACCCACTATATACTGAAAAATCCCTAGGTTAACAGATTTCAACACTGTAAGAAAAAAAAATCCCATGCTGGCCAAATAATCATGAGTGGAAAAAGTCTCATATCCTCATTTTTTGCCCACTTCCANTTTTTTCATCCTCTAGAAAACAAGATGAGATTTTCCTGCCAGCTGGAAGCTCTTCAACAGATCAATAGGTCGTCTCTCACAGGCACAAGGTGATTCAGTCTAAGGGATGTAGTTAGTGCTGAGATTTCTGCAGCAGTAGCTATCTCATTCCCAGCAGTGACTGTTCAGACCTTGTTTGTTCAGAACTGATGGCTCCTACCTGAAAAACTTTATCTTTGGCTTCAACAAGCCCAAGCCCTCGAGGCGCAGAACCACATTCTCCAGATTTTGTTTGAGAGGGTTTGTAAATTCAGTCACTAGGTTTACCTCCCTGCCAAACTGTGTCGGTCCTTCGACCTGGAAAGACATCACAAAGGTAATTCTGGCAAGAATAAATACTGTTAATTCAAATTTCAATTTGCCTGCAATATTACCATTACACTAAATGTTATGGAGACATTAAATATCGCATAGCATTACTCAAAAACAGAAGGGAGTTTCGCCATGTGTCCTGGCCCCATGATCATTCACTCCATGGCTGTTGTGGGACATTGCTGTACATAAATTGTCCATCTCATTCATCCACAAACTACACAGTCAGTTTATACTTTACAAACTACACTTTACAGTATGTCCTTTGAAACACTTTGAGACGTCTTGACGACAAGGTAAGGCGCTACATCAAATTCAAGGCAAATTTGTGGAGTCCTGTAGCTCAGCGGTTAGAGCACTCGCTTTGCAAGCGAGAGACCTGAGTTCAATTCCAGGCGGCAAAACCTTGGGCAAGTTTCCTTACTCCACACGCCTAATAATAATCCCTCCAAAAACCCAAAACAATAATAAATTGACCATTTTAAATCTACGACTGTTTGTGGGACATTGCTGTGCGCGATTGGCTGCCGCGTTCGCCCACAAATATATAATCAATTCACTTTACAGTGTGTTCTGTGAAGCGCTTTGGGACGTCCTCCCGACGTGAAAAGCACTATATCAAATGCAAGGATTATTATTATTATTATTATCAAGGCTTATATTATTATTATTACAAAAGTTTCCTTGGGCTTTAAATCACAGGCTGCTATACCTATAGGATCATAAAGTCATAAGAGAGGTGTGGATGCACATGACTCTTTTGTCTGATTTCATCTCTCTTGTCTAGAATACCCAACCTACCATTGCAGTATCAAACTGTTTCTTGACTGATGCTACCCTGTCTGAGGGGAACTATATAAATGCAAGTTGTTGCCCTAGCCTCAATATAATAACCCGTTCCACCTGTTAAATTACTCCCTTTTGTAACTCCTAAAATTGCTTTCACAGCCCTGAACTTGTGATCTCTTGTCCTGCTGCATGTATTGTTCTGGGTGATGCTTCACCTTACCCCACCTCTGCAACATTGCCCGGCTCCATCACTGTCTCTTACCACAGGCCGCCGAGACCCTCATCCACACGTTCATTACATCCAGGCTCAACTATGCAAACTCCCTGCTTGTCGGTCTCCCCAACTCCTCCCTCTAGAGGCTGCAGATCATCTAGAACTTTGCATCCCGTGTCCCTTTCCCCCATCCTCGCCCAGCTCCTCTGGCTCCCCATCACACAGAGGATACAGGTCCTCATATTCAAAGCCCTACATGGCCTTGCTCCTCCCTAGCTCTGTGATCTCCTAACCCCTACCAACCTGTCCACTCCCTCCGCTCAGCAGGGTCCGGCTTGATTCATGTCCCCCACCTTGCCTACTCCACCATTGGTGGGCGGGCCTTCAGCCTTTCTGCCCCCAACCTCTGGAACTCCATAGTACAGTCCGTCTGCCTCACCCCCTCTCTTGCCTCCTTCAAGATCTGTTTCAAGACCTTCCTCTTCGACCGTGCCTTCGATCACTCTCCTCGTGTTACCCTCTCCACCCTCCACCTCTTCTGATCCCAACCACCAGCTCGGGTGCATATTCCTGACTGTCCAGCGCCTTATGACGTCCTCCTGACGTGAAAGGCGCTATACAATTGTAATTTGTCGTCGTTATTGTGCAATGTAATTTAGATGGGAAATAAGTAGGACAGTAGGATTAGATCAGGTGACTTACGTGGAACACCAACACATACCTGATGGGTCGAATGGCCCATTTCTGTGCTGTAACACTATGAATCTGCTCTAAGAAAATTACACTAAAAGGTTTTCAAAACGTGTTACTGAAAAGGAAAACAGGTTTCATAAACGCTCATCATTTTGGATGCTTGTGAAGTGCACGGTTTAAATCACAAATAAAAAAAGTACAGAAAATTGTACAGAAAGTTATTATAACCAGTTCATTTGTCACAATCAGTAGGAGTTCCAGAACTGACAACCTAACGCCAAGACTGACACAACATACAAGTTTAATCTGTGCAGAGATACAATTAACTCAGTTTGGGATTGAGTGTGTTATTTTGCTATACTAATTTACCAGTATGTTTAAGAATATAATTTTTTGTTGGACATTATTGCCTCCACCCCTTTTCCTTATCTTCTTTCATCACTCATGGACCATTATTCAGTCTTGTTCAGCTAAGAAAAAGGAACACTCTTGGGCATGGCATCTTCTACTGCATAAGACTGTTGTGTGGCACAATAGAAAATGTATTCTACATGTTGTTCCCAATACTTTTACCTGCAATCTTGAAAACTGCAATGCTCTTGGGTAAGGTGCTTGATTTTGTCACCCAACAACCAGAAAAACATAAGCATAGAGGAGTTTGACTAAAAATTGTAAGCAGGATTAAATGAATGTCTTCTAGTTTATTACCAAAGCTCTTCAACTTTTTATTAAAGTAATTGTACTTGGGTTTAGATTGGAATGGAGGGGCCAGTGTTTATATACCATAATGAATAAAAACTGCAGAGGAGCTCCTTAAAACAAATCTGTACTTTCCTCGACTTTGAAGATAGCAATCTTATGTTTCATGGAGAGGTTCAAGGGACAATTCTTGGAAAGTTTGGAAATTTTTCAGACGTTACCAACCGAAAGGACATCTGACTCTCCTCTGATCCACAAATGAAAGGACCATGATTGTGTAAGTTTAGAATGTGAATATCCCATCATTAACTGATTTGTAAATGTACTAAGATTCTGAGAATCAGCAATCTAACTTCTCCATCCAGCTGCAGTTTTTGACTATGAAAAGATATAAACTGTATACTTTCCACCTCAAAGTGACTACCTTTTTTTTCTAGATTTGCTGCTGCACAGAGCTGGTCTCACTCTACATCTGCATGTATTTTATCAATGTTGGCAAACAGATGGTCTGTGGCTCACTCAGCAAATATTTTTTTCTGTGACATTGGGATTTGGGTAAGAACACAAAACAAACAAGGCACACTTTTGCACCCGGTGCATAACCTCTCTTGATGCACATGGTCCACGGGACTGTGGGGTCCTGCAGTTCAGTGGTTAGAGCACTCGTCTCGCAAGCGAGAGACCTGGGTTTAATTCCCAGGCAGGGAGAAATGTTGGGCAAGTTTCCTTACTCCACACGCCTCTGTTTACCTAGCAGTAAGTAGGAACCCGGTTGTTAATCGATTGGTAGATCGCTTCTCCAGAGATAATAATCCCTCAAAATAAAACAGTAAAATGTAATATTATTAATTATTAATAATTATTAATAATATTAAGTCACTCAGTCCACGACTGTTTGTGGGGCACTGCTGTGCGCAATTGGCTGCCACGTTTCGCCCACAAATAATCAATATGAAAAGTGCTATATCCAATGCAAGGATTATTATTATTGGCATCCAAAAAGTATTCTAGCACCAGCACCACAGTATGCGAACATAGCAGGATCACCTGCATTGGAAATAATGTCCCTTCTAGGTCGTCCCCTGGTTATATAGATTCACAAGATATTGGCAATGACCCGAGTTATCATTGGAGCAAAATGCTCACCAGTCTGTGTGCTATATAGGGGACACCTATGTTGACCACAAAACTGCAGGTGGACAGAGAAGTTAGAATGCTTTTTCAGATGTCAATGTGCAAGTTTCCCTTTCTCTGCAAACCTTTCCTCATCCACTATACCCTGACATTTAATACGTACCCCCAGCTTTTCTGGAACACTATTTTTTTCACATTCTTTCTCTCTCACCTCCTCTATCAAATTTTTCCTCTCCCTCATTCTCTCTCTCATTTTCTCTCCCTGATTTTATATATAACCCCCATCCCCACTGAACACACTACTCAACACAAATATGATAAAACTGGAAATACTATTTGATCAAGTCATGATGTTACAACAGCAACATAAGCGAACAAAAGGCACTCAGCAGAAATCTTAAAAAAATATTAGCTATCAGCTATTTCACTGTTTGTCAGTAAGGTTTGGCCTTCCACACTGCGTTCAAGCTCCATACATCACTGACCTTCATCCTTAACATTGGGATCTGCAGAGCTATAATTTTCTTGGCAACAAGAATCTGTTCATTTTCTTTCACACGTCCAGTGATGAGGAAGCTCAGGGTAGACTGTTCAACAAGGCGATTCACATAATCCTTTGGTTTGATTTTCACTTGTGCCTGTTGCACTGGAAGACACAGGTTAATAACAATCTTTTGGGTATAAGGTTTTTAAAAATCCACTTGTTTTGCGTAGATTTTTGTAAAAAAACTAACAGCATTATGAATTCCTTCACAAAAATTGAGATGTATTCTTTGTTTCACATTGTTCAGTTTCATCATTTAATTCAGCCTGACTCAGTTGGTAGCATCTTAACCTTTGAGTCAGAGGGTGTTGATTCCAACCCCACGTCAGGTCTTGCAACTCATATAGTCTAAGCTGACACTACAATGCAGTGCAGGAATGTGCTGCATTGTCGAACATGCCATTTTTTGGATAAGGCATTAAACCGAGGCTCTGTCTACCTGTTCAGGTGAACGATAAAGATCCCATGGAGAGAGAAGGGAATTTTCCCTGGTGTCCTGGCCAACTATCCCCCAAATAAACTTGATCACTTACTCAATGTTTTTTTTTTTGGACATTGTTATGCGCAAATTGGCTGCCACATTTGTCCACAAAATGTACAGTCACTCCACTTTACAAAATATCCTGTGAAGCCCTTCGGGACGTCCTCCTGACATGAAAGGCGCTATACCAAGTGAAACCTAGAACAAGTTTTCATTCTAGCCATATTTGCTGGCAACGATGAAAACTGGATTGGTGATTCAAGCGGCAAGAGATGACAATAAACAGACAAGGCTCTGTACATGGGGGACAGGGACATTTTGAGTTCATAATAATTAATAATCCCAACTGATCTCATCCTTACAGAAAGCCAAACCGACCGTCTTCCCATTACAATGTCAAGATATGGAATCAAAGCAGTTAAAATAATTAGCCTGACCTTCACAATGATGTTATGAGATAATTTAACCTTTTAGGAAGAAGTATAATTAAAATAGAAAGTGTGAGCTCGAAATTCCAGCTAGCCTTAGGCTGTAAATGTAAAGCCATTTTGTTTTAAAATTCAAGATCCAGCAGAATGGTGAAACATTGGGAATTTAACCTCAATTTAAAAAAGCTGGTTCTTTCTTAGGTGTTCAAAATTGTAAGGGTTGTCATAAGGTAAATAATGATTACTTGCTTCCAATGGTTGGTGAGTCAATAACTTTAGGGCATAAACTTAAGATCACCACCATAACCTCATTCTACTCTGAAAATTTCTACAACATTACGGATCTATGAACTGCAGAAACCTAGCTTCCAAATTAAGATTGAATTTAAAATGTTTCCACAGTTTTGCCCAATTTTAACGTTTAAGAAAGAGTTGTACAGAGCTAAGACGAGGTATAATTTGGGGCCTCGCTGTTGAATACTGGACAGAATGTTTTGTCTTACCCTGATGAGGCTCCACAAACACTTTGAGTGTCTGATCTATAAAATTGGAGTTTGGGACTCCTGTGTAGAAGTCAACACTGCCACTGAGTTGAACAGTAACAGTTCTCTTTTCATCACTGTTGTTTTTGAATTCCAAACTGATGACAAAACCTGTGCCAATTAAAATCTTTTCTTCCACCTGCACACGCAGTGATACATCCATCGGCTTGGCAATTACTTTTTTCTCCTTTTTAACACCATACTGTATTGCCGACTCCTGTGCCCTTTTGTCATTACTGCTGCCTGCAGACATAAGACAAGGAAGATAAGTGGCGCTGCGCAAATTCATTTTATTCTGCCGAGTAACTGGAAAACATGCGACATAACATGGGGGAGGAATGAGGAACTTGATGTGATACTGCAGTTATTGGATGGACAGAACACAAGATTAAAACAGGTGCTTAAAATCTGTCCTTAACAACAGGTTTCAGATTAAATACTACCCCACCCCCCAACTTCAAGAGAATGTTTTTTTGTCCCACTAACGACTTAATTTCAACAACATGTTTTGTCAGCAAGCAACGACCCCAGAATTCCTGGCTGTGGAAACAGTGATTCAAAGCTGCTTCACCGGATATCGGATTAAAATTAATGACTCAGTTGCAGTACTGCATTGACTGACTGACACCAAGCATTAGAGGAGCAATTTGCCTTACTATAACACATATCAAGAAAACTGTGACACACTTCACCAGCATTTCACAAAGTGAAAACGATACAGGAGCCTGTATGATGTTAACATTTGATTATGTAATCCAATGTCATGCTGCAGCTCCCCCTAATGACCTCGCTGGGTAAAGACCTGGCACAGCACAGACCTGAGGTTCAGAATTTCAGTTAATCGTAGGCAAAAAATAGTACAGAATTGTAGAACAATCTTCATTTGGAAGCTTTATTTTTTTAAAAAAGAATTTCCGTACTGCAGAGAACCGACTTCTTAATTAAGACCAATTTAAGAAGTGTCTTTAAAGCTAAGACAAAGTGGAATTTCATGCCCCAAAAGGTTGCCACTTTGATTTATGTAGCTGATTTCAACTGCGACACCCTTACTGAGCTGTGGAGGGGAATATCAACCAGGGCTCCCACTCCAGATTCTTATCCAGAATCTCTGCAGCAAAGGTGACGTAAGGACATCGAGTGAGGACAGGATCAGGGATGGCCGGGATGTCATGCTCTCACAGTGATTGAAAACCCAGCAATGCTCAAATACGAGCAATATCGACAGATATTACTACAGCAATTCATCTGTATCAGCAATGTCTAACTATTTTTTGTATTTTATTTGGATGAGAAAGGAATACTGTCCAGTGCACCGGGAGAACTCCTTGCTTCTCTTTGAAGTAGTGCCATGAAATCTTTAATATACAATACAATTAACATTTATATAGAACATTTCATGTCAAGAAGACATCTCAAAACGCTTGACAATGCTAGATGGGCACCCAAGCTGGGGGCAGCAGCTGAGTGGCAATGGGAGAGGTGGGGGAGAGAAAATGAGCAAAAGCAAGGTCAACAGCCCCTGAATCATCAGAACAGACGAGACCTTGGTTTAACGTTACTTTTGAAAGATTGATGGCAGTCAGGTTTGAAGGTAAAGATGCAGTGTAAGACATATTTAAGCCAGCTACTTGGTTAGCTCATTGCATCAAGTGATTAACACTAAATGATCTGCCCAGAACAAATGGTAAAAAAGGCGACGGACTTGAGTTTTGACAGGCTGGATTTGCAGCCAATGAAAAGGTAAAAGTTCGATAATTGACAATAGATATAACCCTGTCAGTATCTGGTGCAATTTTCAATTGCAAAGTCTCCAAGTGGCAAGCTCAAGTTGGATATTGACAGAAGATTGCAAGGGCACAAAGTTCCACCTCATCTTAGTCTGTATGACCAGTTTTAAAATTTAAGTTTTTTCAGAATTGTGGAAAATTTTTAAATTCAGCCTTCATTTGGAACTTTTTAAGAACTGCAGAAAATGGCTTACAAATGAAATTCTTACACTTTTAGAAAAAAAATGGACTTAGGCAAAGTGAGATTTCAGAAAGTCAGACTCCTGGTTGGACAAAACAGGGAGAAAATACCTTTGAATATTTTTAGTATTTATTCCCTGGCCCACAATGTTTTCACCTTATTTTCAGTCAGTGACTTTGCTGCATCAGTGTTAACGGTAAGATCATGAGTTTTCTCTTATTCAATAGTCCATCACCCCACAAGCCCTAGTTTCTGTGACAGAACTTTGGAGTCTTACTCTGTTTTCTTTGTGCGGACATTTGCACTAATGAATAATGTCGAGCACTGCTCAAAATATCTGGCTATTGCTGAGGAGTGTTATTGAGCTTGAAATAAGTCCCATTTCTTATGGTATTCAACTGCTGGTGCTAAATGGGTGTTTGAGCTATAGTAGAACACCACAAGATTCAAAGTTAGAAAGAATATGAGGGCAAGGGAGAGAAAGTGAGAACGAGAAGGGCTCTCACAGTACTGTCACTGTCTGAAAGTATAACTGTTGATGGTCTTTGGTTAGCACTGTAACTAATTTGTATTTCGCATGATGATCCATTGTTTCTATACCCATAATGAGGCCAGTCCCAATCGGTGCAGATAATGGGTTTTCTTTTGTATTTTTATAGCCGTTAAGTATTGCAAAAGTTCCTCAATTCTCCAAAAGGAGAATAAAACTAACCTTGTGCAAATACCATCTCATTGCCTCTGGTAAATTAAACACAGTAGTGCTCCTGCATACCTGAAGTTAAATTTCCTTCATTTTTAAACTTATCAAACCACCTCCACCTATTCACTCACCTTCTGGGAACTTATACTGCTCTGTGATGTTTTCCTCTAATTCAGTCCCAATCTTCTGTGTCAAAATTAATTTTCCAACCTGATCAGTCTTTACATCAGCTTTAGTCAAGGTCCCATCCTTATGTCTAGTCCAATAGATTACATCGCTGTTTACCTTAAAACAGAAAAAAAGCACATTTACTTCCAATAATTATAAAACTTGCAGCGCGAGGGGATAGATCTGAATTCTGCAGATCCCATTGATGATATAAAGAACACTGAATGTCTTACTATCTTGTAATTCATCTATTTAGTAATAAATCCATTTCATGTCAATTAGATATTTTTCCTCTTGGCATTTCAGTAATATCACTTTCTAATCACACCAGGTAATTCTCATGCAGTTGAGATGACCTTAATATTGTGGTAGGGGGCCACTTGAGCTTTAAAACTCACCCTATAATAAGAGGCTGGAGAGAGGTGAAAATGGCGCCAAAGAAAAGGAGCAGTTTGACACACAGTTTAATTGTTATGTGCGTGATTTAGAGTTGAGGATATTTAGTGGTGATGCTGAAATACTGGGAAAGCTTGTTCAGAACCAAGCAATAACAAGCTCCACTCTATAGAACATAAAAATCCCTGAGAGCACACTGTAAATAATCAATACAGTCTGCAAAACATGATCTTAAAGGAACAAAAGGAAAAGATTAGGGTGTGGAAGATAAAAAGTTTCGGAATGAAACCAGGAGTAGAACAATTCCATTAAACTGGAATCGCTTTGAGACATCTCGAAGACATAAGACACTAAGAAATGCATAAGAAATAAGAACGTCATAAGAAATGCAAGGACTATTATTAATAAACCTTCACGAGATCTGTTCAGATCAAGAAAGCCCTTCAACCCATTTAATCTCATCCTTCCAGAATACCCACCCTTCCATCCTCTAATCACAGTATCAAGTTACAGATAGCTGAGGTTAAGGGCTCCATAGGGGCTATTTGGCTGCTCACAGAAAATAATAATATAATCCTTCCATTTGATATAGCACCTTATGAATTCATCAAGGCATCTCAAAGCACTTCACAGGATTATAATGTATAGCTGATGTGACTGGGTATTTTGTGGACGAATGTAGCAGCCAATTTGCACATAGCAATGTCACACAAACAGCCATGAAGCAAATGACCAATTTTTATTTAGAAGATTGTTGGCCAGGACACCAGAGGAAATTCCCAACTCTTTTTAAATAGTTCCAGGGGATCTTTAACATCCACCTAGACAGACAAGATCTTAGTTTAATGTCTCATTTGAAGAACGGCACATCTGATAATGCAGCGCATCCCCAGCTCTGCATTGGAGTGTCAACCATGGGTTCCAAGTCGATGTGAGGATACAGTGAAAAGTGACTGATTGCTATGTTGATTACTGAACAACAACAATTTGTATTTATATAGCGCCCTTCACGTGGGGTAGCATCCCAGAGTGCTGTACAGTGGCGGAGTCTGACAACAAGCCAGGGAGAGAGGGAGGGGGCAGGTGACCATAAGCACGATCGAAGAGGAAGGTCTTTAGGCGGGATCTAAAGGAGGGGAGGGAGGCGGCAAGGTGGAGGGATTGAGGGAGAGAGTTCCAGAGTTTCGGGGCATAGTGACTGAAGACACGGCCACCAATGGTGGAACGGAGGGCATGAGGGACAAAGGCGAGATCAGAGCCAGTCAAGCGGAGGCAGCGGGTGGTGGAATGGGGGGCTAAGCAGGTTGGATAGGTAGGGAGGTGCGAGGGCATAAAGGGATTTGAAAATGAGTGAGAGGATCTTGAAATCGATCCGTTGGTGATTGGGAGCCAGTGAAGCCTGGCAACGACTGGTGTGATGGGGCTAAGGAGTTTTGTGCTGGTGAGAATCCGGGTGGCAGAGTTTTGAATTAATTAGATTTTGTGTATGGTGCATCTGGGGAGACCAGCGAGGAGGGCATTGGAATAGTCCAGGCAGGAAGTGACTAAGTCATGGACGAGGGTTTCAGCTGCATTGGTTGTGAGGTACAGACGGAGGTGGGCAATGTGGCGGAGGTGGAAAAAAGTGGTCCTGGTCAGGGAACAGATGTGTGGTAGAAAGGGAAGCTAGGGATCAAACCCGATGCCTGCTTAATAAGCCATTAACAATCCCAAATAGGGTGTTTAGCCTTTCTGCTGAGCAAACATCTTTTGCTGGAATTCAAAGGTTGGAATATCAGGAGTTGTACAGTATTGTACATTAATACTATGTCTCACCCACTAATTCCTTGGCATTAAAAGCATCTAATCTATATTTATATTTTAAAGGTAAACTAGCATTCACTGTGCATTTTTCAATAAATTTATCNAAAAAACACAGGTGAACTAAATATTTACCAACAGCATTAAATGTGTCTCGGGATCTCATTACATTTACTTATGTTTATCGTATAAATCTGCAGGTCAACAGCCAGTAGTCTCCACATACCTCAGCATAAATGTAAGGAGCATCGAATGGAAAGAAAACTTGACCATGTTTTATGGCGAGAACAGATGCTGGCCCACACCTAAACATGCCTAAAACAAAGAAGACATTAATCCTTAGAAAAGGTACACTTTACTGGAAAGTTATTTATCCAGAGCTCATTTTTGCTATAATAAAATATCTTTGCACTTGTCGATATGAAAGTAACTTTGATGATAACTGTAAGTGAACTGAATTCACTTATCCTTGAACCACAATCAGCCTGAAATTTGCCTCATTTTAGCCAATAATAGTAATAATTATAATAATAATTTAGCCTTCAAATTGTATGACTGCGCAGAACAGTTGACAAATCTGAAATTCTTAATTTGGAAGCTGCATCTTTTTGTGAACCACAGAGAATCGGCTGTCAAATTAAGATTGACTTTTTAAATTTTCCACAGTCGGTGCAATCTTAATAATTTAAAGCAAAATGATCTTACAGGCTAAGACAAGTTGTGGCTTGCATTCTATTTCACAGACATGGACTAAATCTCTCAGATTGGTGTTTGATTACTCACCTCCACTAGTTTCTTGAGGTGTGGCATCGACCGCTTGCCATCCACCATAACCAGGCGGAAGATCTGCTCTGCTCATCCAACATTCATTCCAGCAATGGTAATTCCTAGTTGTAATACAAACAGGAAGATCATTAATTTGCTCACTCAATCCATGCCAGTTTGTAGGACACTGTTGTGCACAATTGACTGCCACGTTTCACCCACAAGATATACAGTTAATTCACTTTACAGTATATTCTGTAAAGCATTTTGAGACGTCTCAAAGATGTGATAAGGCGCTATATCAAATGCAAGCATTATTCTTAAAATCAACAGGGACGAAAAGCATCTCAGGTGCAACAACAAAACTGATCATGGAAAGTTTGATTAGAACAATGCTTATATGTAAATCATTTTTACATTCCAATTGAATTTGATGTTAGAAATTAGGCATCTGGGTAATAAGGCTACAGAAGCTGTTAATTGTTCACATTAAACAGCTGGCTCAGGATAAATCTTATTGAAATATTCAGGCTCCTAAAGGGTATAAGTAAACTGCATCCAGTAAGATTTAACAGAGTCATAAAATCGACAACTTGTGGACACGGAACCTAGCTTAGAAGAGAGAAAATGAACAGACAATTGAGATTTAATTACTCTACATGAAAGTGAAAGTGTGGAATAGGTTACCCAGGGAGGCAGCAGAGGCAGATTGTATCAGCAAGAGGGATTTAAATAGCTATTCAGCAAATAATTTGTAAATAATTTATAGTTTAACATTTTCATTAGTAAAATAGTATATTCCTATCTTCAAACTACACTTCAATGCAGAAAAATGATAATGCTTTGATCTTGTTCCAGAAATGCCATATTGTATTTTCTCTGCAATTCCAAAATTTATATCTGGTCAATTTACCTATGGAAATCATGAGCCCAAAGCTCTCAATGGGAAAATTGATAAGATGGACAAATGCAGTTGCAGAAGCTTACTTCCAGCCTACAAAGTTGAGAGTAAGGGACCTTTGCATTCCAATTAAAATAGGTTTTGCAGTCTCAGCCTTTGTTCCCAGGAGATACTAGTTCATAGGACCAAATTACGATAACTCTTTGAACACCGAAAGTCCTCTCTAACTTTCAAAAAGCTGTCCGTTTTCATTCGCAAACAAATTTGTTGCAACAGTTGAGTTGCAAACATTTCTAATGATGAACATTAAAGTATAAACAGATAAACATTGTCAACTCTAGAGTAATTAACAGCTCACAACAATAATAGTAAATAATACCTGCATTTGATACAGCGCCTTTCGCATCAGGAGGACATCTCAAAGTATTTCACAGGATTTACTGTAAAGTGTGGTGACTATTTTGTAAGTGAACAACAGTATTCAGTCAATTTGGAAGTGTGACATTTTTGTAAAAGCTCAATAACAAAAGAGTCTACAAAGGATTAATTTGTACTGAAATAATTAGTCCCAAAATTCCAACTAGTCTAAGCCTATAAGATAATTTTGCCTTAAATAGTTAAGATTCCACAAAATTGTGGAAAATTCTTAAATTCAGACTTACTTTGGAAGCTTTTTTTTAAGTACTGCATTGCAGAAAAACGGCTTCGATTATATTATTATAAACAGAATTCAAGAAATTTCCACAAGTCTGTGTAGGTTACAGTTTCTTGAATTTCTTGAACAATGTTTTCAGTCAATATGCCCTGAATCTTTGGAACTTTTAGTATCAATCCCTCTGTCTTGCCCCCTCTTTGCCCATTTTCAGATCACACCTTTCCTCTTCGACCGTGCTTTCAGTCATCTCCCCTATTCGTCCAGCTCAGCATCAAACCACACCGCTGTTTAAGTGCTTTGAGATGCTATTAATGCGAAGGGTACTATATAAATGGTGAATTTGATATGAGCAGAACCTCCAACTCTTCATCCGGTTATTAGATCTTACCAGATTGAATCCTTTGTGAACTCTAAATCCTTCTTTCCATTTTCGTCAAGAATCACGTCAGTCACCAAGTCACCATCATTATCATGAGCTGAGGAATAGTTAGTGATAACTCTCGAAGGGATTCCCAAGCAGCGAAGAACTGGTATAATATAAGAGAACAGGTTAAACTCCAGCGTTTATTGGCACAGTAACTGAAAGCTCGGTCACCCATGGTGCCAGAGAGAAGTCAGTGGACACATAACCTGAGTTAGCGGAGTGGAGAGCAGAGGAGTATTTTTATAGGAATAGGGTGGGAGAAGATTGGAGAGATAGTGAGGTGCTGAAGCATGGAAAGATTTATAGGTGAGGGTGAGGAACTTGAAATTGATCCGCTGCGAGACGGTAAAAGTAGAAACTTCTAGAAATGATGAGGTGAGAAATGTGCCATTCGTGATTATTTTCGGACTTTCCTCATCTGCCAACGTGCCAGTCAACAGCTGGTGAACACCTCTCCCATCTCCTCATCCTGTTAGCTGGGTCTAAATGTTCTTACTGAAAAGGCAGCGTTCCCATTATGTTTCCTAAATATGGGGCACTAACCAGTAACCAGATGTTTGTCTTAAAACAATGTTAGAATACTCATTCTTGCGTGTTTTTGCATATGTGTCTATCACCATAGAGTGTAAAAAACATACACTAACTCAATTGCCTTTTGCTATGGAAATACACATGATGTATGTACAGATACACTCAAACACATCCATAATTATTACTACAATAGAGCACTTATTATCTGCGGGCTAATTATTCACATGTCCATTCATCCACATCAGGCTCTGATACACGAGTGGACATGGGACTGTGAGGTACCAGCAAAACCCCTGTGGTGCATACATATGAAGTTACAGACGTGCAAGCGAGGTTGCTTGAGATACCATTGAATCATGCTGACTGGCTAAATCACATCACTATCAATCCTCACATACATGCGCACACAAATATTTCCAGTAACTGAACTAAGTCTTTATAGAGTGTAGTTGGAGTCAGAAAGAGACGGAGATAGTCATAATGTGTAGAAAGAGGAAAGAAAAGTTACAAAACTTGGAAAGAGAGAAAAGCTGAAAGAAGGAGTGAATCACAAGAACAAAAATAGCAGAAAGGGAATGACTGGCACAGTGTGGCATATAGCACAATGACAGTATAATCATTAATGGAACATTTTTTTTGTTAGCACTGTGGACATTTTGTATTTTATGCAATGTCCAATTATCCAGACTGTATACTTGTCCACAATAGGGAAGATCCCAATTAGTGCAGATAATCAGCTCTCCACTCTAGAGAGGTGTGTATACACACTTTACACGTGCACATATTATATACACATATACACATAATTCATGCACTGCCTGTTATTACTTTCAAGATACACACGTTCTACTGAAATATCACAGTTCTTACCCGTATTGAATACTGCAGCAAAGACCCAGCACTGTCCGTAACGCACTGGCTGTCTTGTGCGGAAATATTGTAACAAAATATCGACACTGCTGTTCCAAGCTGTGGGGGCCACTCCATCACCATAAGCACCTGTCCAACTTCCAACAAGGATACCATCTTCGTCCAGAGAATTAATCTAGTCAAAGAGAATCTCTCATTTTTCATGTAATGTGATTTATTCCATCATTTGTAAACAGCAAGAAGTTAATCACATTAAACTGTAAAGTTCTACTGGAATCCTGCAATTACTGCTTTAATGCTGGGCAACTAATGCTTTAAATTGGAGGAACAGACTTCAATACATAATGTAGCACAACTTTGTTATATGATCCCAATTTAAATATGACTAAGACTTAACAAAACATGCGTAGCAATGTATAAAGGTGGCTGTCCATTTCTGTTTTAATTTGATGAGATTTATGACAGTGTAACGATTGCAGTTTCAGATCTGCTATGATTCATTCTCCTGCTAAACAATTTCTGTGAGTTGGATTCCTCCAGTTCTATTCGCATTACTGAGGAGTTGTGGAATTGGTTTTCTGAAGCACGATTCCAAAAAATGACTATGTACGGAGTTGCGTTACAAGCCGAGTTGTTGATAATTACTCTTGTTGCATTCCAACTGAAACCACTTACAAAAAGCAGAACGTTCAGAAATTTAAAATCCCATGCTTTAGATTTTAGTGCCAAAAACATGCTATTCACATTAAAACAAACTGCTCCACTCTATAATTCCTTTAGCATATCATAATCAGTAGATACAGGACTGTTCTGGTGGAGGATTATACTCTTGACTTTCTCTTTCAGATACTTTGTCGTGCTGTGAATTTTCGGCACTTCCTCCTAATTTGTTTGCATTGCTCAGAAGATCAGACAATCTTTACGTTTTGTTTACTTTCCTCCTTAGGGATAGCTTTAAACAGCAACAACAAAATTACATTTGTATAGCACCTTTCACATCGGGAGGACGTCCCAACGCACTTTAAAGTGGAGAGGTTGCGAGGCGGAGGGACTCCAAATTGGAGAGTAGGGATAGAGTAGCTGAAAATTTGCCCACTCTTGTTGGGGCGGATTGGGCAGGAGACATGAAACAGATCAGCCTTCACTGACAAGCATCAATATCAAATTCTAACGGATGACCGAGCAAGTCTACCATATCAATGCCTGAAACGTCTATGAATTTACTGCTTGCATCATATTCTCTTGAGTGCCCAAATCTCCAAATGCAATTAAGTCTAAATTAAGTCGAGAGGATCCTAAGCTAACTATGCATGGAAACTTGTTTTATTTAGTTGACAGAGAAACCAAAGCATCTTTCAATAAAAGATGGAAAAGAAGAACGAGTTTAAATCATGCAAAATTCTCATGGTTTTGGGAAGCTTTCCCACTGCTTGTGAAACGAGGACCACCCTCCCAGTTAAGGCTTTAGTTTGTCTAAATGGGAACAGTCCTTACCCCCAGTGGTCTTCCCCTTCAGTTCCTGCAAATGATGTAGGCTGGCTAGTCTTTGATCAGCACAGCCCCTTACTAGCTCACAAACCAGACTACCAAGACCACCACAGAGGGTTGACTCGATTCAGACATTCTGTTGCCAAATCACCTTGCTCAACTCCAAGGAGACCCAGCTTACTTTCCTCTTCCCCCCCACACCGTCCCCCCCATCCTAGGAAGATAAATTTGCAGTGTGAAGACAAATTCCTTGATGCCAAGTGCCTGTAAGTGAAATATGGACTATTCATCAATGAAACCTAAAGATGAAACATCTGAGATCAAACTCCCCGGTCCAGCAATTGGATTCCTGTCACAACAAATGGTTCAACAGCAAAGCTATTTGGGTCAGACGGACAGATGAAACCACTTTGCTCATCAATTGAAAGGTTGACTGAGAGCTTTCTGTTTAAAATTAGCTACAAGAAGGGAGTTATTGTAATTGGTGAAAATCCAAGACAACAATCCAAGCTGCCTTAAGATGGTTCTGTATTATAAAGAATAGTCTTAAATTGCATAATTTTTAAACTTACCACTGCAGACGCAACACGACAAACTTTGATCGGGCATCCTCTTGCTTGCAGAGGCATCCGTGCCCTGTCCAGTGCATATAGGCAAGAGTCCAATACACCACTTTCAAACTACATGGAATTAAGGCAGAGGAAATTACATTTGGTAATAGATTAGTACAAAATGCACAATCATTTTACGCCAATGAGTAAATGTAATCATTTTTTAATCTTAACAATCCCTGAATATAAGAATATTGATTTTCAACTGTCAATAAATTAATTAACAATTCAATTAATTATTTTATTTTCATGTTTGCCAGTACATCTCTACTACATTAGTGTTTTTGGCAACTGAATTGTAACTGGAGCATTTTTAAACACACAAAGGGGGTTTAGCGCATGTCAGATACCTGGCTGGCCAAAAGGTTGTCTGTAAATACATAGGCACTACCTTCACAGAAAAAAAAATTGTGGTCGGACCTTCAGCCTCTCTGCCCCACCCTTTAGAACTCCATTCACCAGTCACTTTGTTATGCTCCCTCCCTTGTCTCCTTCAAGGGCATGTCTCAAGACCCTCTTCTTCGATTGCGCATTCGACCACCCTCCTAACCCTACCCTCCCTGACCTCCCCCTCCCGGTCCCAACCGCCTGCTTGGGTCCCTGACTGTCCAGTGCCATGGGATGTCCTTCTGACATGAAAGGCGCTTTACAAATGGAATTTGTTGTTCTTGTTGAAGCCACATCCTTTTGAATCAGAGGCGAGAGTGCTACCAACAGTCCCAGCCTGATATTTTGCTGGCAAACTGCTACAGAAAAAGAGTTGGAGTTTGCAAGCTATAGTTCCAGATTAATATCATTAGTTTCAAAGTTTTCAAAAGATAATCAAAGGCAATCATTACCTGACCAAAAATCCAAGCTCTAGAGACCACTTCAGAGGCCTCTCCATAGTAAAGGTGACCAATATCGTTTAAGATGTATTCTTCTTTCTCCGCCTCAGTGTCCATGTAGACTGCATCATCTGAATCAGATCAAGATATCCATTTAAAAGTTTATATTAAAAAAAAGTCTGTTTTGGGTTCTGGGTCCTGAGCTTATAATTTAGGTTAACATTCCAGTGCAGTACTGGGGGAGTGCCTGTTGAAATGAATGTTAAAGATCCTGTGACTATTTGAAAAGTGAAGGGAGTTTCTCCCAGTATCCTGGCCAACAATCCTCCAGATAAATTGATCATTAACTTCATGGCTATTTGTGAGGCCTGCTGTGTGCAGATTGGCAGCTGCATTGGCCTACAAATAGTCACTACACTTGACAGCAACTCAGCGTGATAAAGCTCTACAGCATGCAATTTATTTATTTTTATGTGATTGATGGAGAATTGTGGTTGGTTTACAGTGAGTAATTAGACTACAATTTACTCCAGGGCTTCCGGTATTACCATAAGTTTAATAGTTTATTGGTGTCATCTAAACTCTGAGATGATGCAGCCTCTTACTCTGCTATATGCAGTAATTTGTTATTGTGTACATGATATTTGCAATAAAATGAAAAGATTGCTAATGTTGGCTATAAAAAGGGCTCAAATTGCACAAACTAAGATTGTGAGAGATCACTTTAATACTATCTGCACAAGATGATATTACCACGATTGACAGCTGGGTATAAGCGGATCAATTTGCAGTTTTAATGTAGAATAATAAGATTTTTAAGAGCCTAATATATAACAATGCATCAAAAGTTATTATTGTTACATAAGCGTTTTTCTACTCATGACTAGCCGTTATTTCATGTACTGCATACTGAGAATCTTAACAGGCTATGTGGGCATGAAACAAATTAAAGATTAATTCTCTGCTCCTCAGTACAGATTTGCCAACATTTATGGTGGGAGTTTATAATGGGAAAATCACATCATGGAAACATACTATTCAAGGTCAGTCGTTTTACTGACCAGTGGAGTATCAGAGGCATGTGTCCAGGATGAGGGAAATTCACTGATAAAGCCCTGAATTTCTAAGACATGAATTAGGAGACATTCCACCTGGGTCTACATTTACACATTTTATGCAGCATTTCAAAGAATCCAGAATTTGGCAAATTCTTAAATCCAGCCTTGATTTTTAAGCTATTTTTCTGCCAGCTCTTTTAAGAAAATAGTTTTCAAAGTAAGCACTGAATTCAACCAAATTTGGATGCTCTGAAATAAATAATAATAATCCTTAAATTTGAAGTAACGACTTTCACATTGGGAATCCTGTGATACGCCTCTAGGCATATCACAGGATTTACCGTAAAGTGTGGCAATCCACACAACGAACCATGAAGTAAAATGCCAAGAAAATAGAGTATATCTAGACTCGGGTGGAACTGGTTCCCACAAGTATGTTAAATATAATACAGTACCTGAACACCAAGGATTGAAGAGAATGTAGAGATCTGTGTCTGAATCTCTAGCTGTTCTGCGGATCCCATATGGTGTCATTATAGCTACGTACATTCTGAATCGTCCAACAGGACAGTAAGCAGGGGACATGATTGAAAGACTGAGGGTGTTTTGCCAGGTGGTCATTATTTTTGCTCCCCATTTTCCTTGCTCCAGCTGTTCTTCCAAGTAAATGGGGATGTAGGTTCCTTTGGTGATATTTGGGTACCGACCTGCAAAAAAAGTAATATGTGAGTTCCTGCTCAATAATGACGTTACTTAAATAGTAACAACAACAACAACAAGATTTGTATAGTACCTTTCATGTCGGGAAGATGTTCCAAGGTGCTGGACTTAGGTGTGTGTGTGTGTGGTGTCCCAACACACATACACACAGCATAAATTATAATCTATGCACTCACTGTATATATCAGCTCTGTCAGGAATCTTTCCAGAATCTGAGTTACAACCCCAAAGAAAGCCTAAGCAAACATTATTCATATCTGCTCAAGTTGTCTGTCCTCTCTGCTCGTCTATGAGTATACTCTTCACATGTTCATCAACAAATCAGACAGCTTTGGTAAAGTTGGCCTTCCTTAATAATCGGTTTGCTTGTGGAATACACAGTAGATAGCTGTCTGGCTGCTGAGCGGTATTCTCAATCTTCCTCTTTCCATCTACTCCTCAATATCTTCAATAGCTGGCTTCCTTTGTGCGCCTGCACACTGTACAAACACAGTTAGCTGGTCAGCTGCAACCAATCTCACAATATCTGCATGGACAGTCTTCCAAATAAGGAATTTGAACCACTAGGGCAATTGCTTGCATCTTATACTTGCCTACCTACATTTTGAAAACCAAAGAGTAAAATTAGAAGCAACAAATACCAAGTGACCCCAAGTTTCAGTTCCAAAAATATCAAGACATTGATATTACAAGATTATTACATTACAACAGGTTGCACCCTCCACCTCGCCCCCTCCTTTGCCTCCTTCAAGGCCTATCTCAAGACATTCCTTTTTAGCCGTGCCTTCGGTCATCTGCTTTCCTGCACCTCTCTTGCCCTCCATCAATCTCTGGTCCCAATCACCGGCTTGGGTGCAAAACCCTCACGGCCCACAACCTTTGGGAGTCCTCCCGATGTGAAAGGTGCTATACAAATGTAATTTGCTGTTGGTAGGGTAAAGCATCATCGGGTTTTTTGAGTCATCGGGTTACACCTGACACCACCACTAGCTGAGGGCAGTGTGCATGTGTAGGAAACTGGCCAGTCTACCCTAGAAACCACAAGTGTTCACTTTCACACTCTCAGTAACCATGAGTCCAAAGGACACTTGCGTTCTCACAAACCCGTGAGGAGCTTAATACAGGTCGTGCTGTATCAGAGAATCTTCTCCATTATTATGTCATTGTGAATAGTGTAAAGATGTTGGATTTTAAAAACGTAAAAAATGAACACTTAAGCTATCAACTAATAAATTTCAAGCACATAGCAACAAGCTAAAGATTAACACAGATGGTTTGTGTTATATCATGTATCTCCCTGTGGAAATCTTTTTACTGAATACCCAAGATGTAAAGTCACTGGTTTTGGTTGTTTGCTGTTATTTTGCTACATTTTATAAGACATCTGCAGGCCAGACTTATTCTGCAAATTGTTACCATGATGGGATGCAGGCAATTACTTTACACAGCAGCTCAAGCTGAACAATGCATAATCTCCACATCTTTCTGTGTTCTCAGCAACCACTGGGGTGAGTTTGGCCAGACATTTCTTCATGTTATAAATTCCTCTCGATCTCCAGGCTCATACTGCACTTTACTTCACAGTCACGAAAGGCCTTCTCCTGCTGGTTTGTTCGCTAACAAGACATGATGCCTACCATCAACTAACACTGACTGGCTGATCATGTGAAAGGGCAAAACAACGGGGTGGAGGCCTTCCATGTGCCAAATCCTTAAAATAGCAATATTTTATTACTTGCTTTTAATGGGAAATTCCACTATTAACAAGTAAAGATTATCTATATTTTCGGCACCTGTAAATCAGGGCTTAATAGTCTCCAATAAAACAGTTGTCTGGGCTGATTGCAACTTGGCCTTCAGAGAATATAGATGCTTAAAAATGAAATAAATAGCACAGGAAGTGCTAAACACCTCCAATGGTAGGAAAACTACATAATAACTGATAGATAAATTGGTAACACTTTGATAACACTCTGCTTCAACTTACAACCCGAATTGATTTGCCCAATACATTTTACATGCATAAATTCATACAAAATAAATGAGAGTGTGATCACTGCTCAGGGAATACGGGCCAACACTGAGACCTAATAAATATCTCTAGTGAAGCTACCTTGGCAATATATGAGGAACCCATGGCTGCCTCATAATGCAGACATTTGTCATGTTACATTGCTACCAAAGTTTGTAGGCTGTCAAAGTGAAAAAATTGGAATGAAATGAAAATTTTTGTTGAATTTTTTTTGTAGCCCAAGAAAGTTGGTTTAAGCTCCTTTGGAATGCCACTTGATCATTCACTGCTATATCGTTTCTAAGATCAGAATAAGTGTAAATAAAACAATGTAAAGATACACATCACAATGCGAGTTAAAAGTTCCACTATTTATATGAACACACCAAAAGTTACATCACATCAAACAACAACTTGCATTTATATAGCACCCTTCAAGCGGGGCAGCATCTCGGATCGCTTAACAATGTACTGTGGAGTCTAATTTACAAAATACCTTATTTACATCATCATTACATCAAATTATTTTTGGCAAAAGGTGAGGGATTGTGGAATGAAGTTTCTTTCTGCCCCCACCCTCGTGGAGCAGGCCAGAGCCTGTTGAGTGGAGGGAGCGAATAGGTTGATATGGGGATAGCAGGTCGCAGAGGAAGGAAGGAGCAAGGCTGTGGAAGGCCTTGAAGGCAAGGATGAGGATTTTGAACTTTATCCTCTGAGGATGGGGAGCCAGTGGAGCCGGGTGAGGGTGGGGATGGTGGGGTCATGGAGCCTGGTGCGGGAGAGGACATGAGCTGCAGAGTTCTGGAATGATTTGCAGTTTGCGGCAGGAAAAGTTGGGAAAGCTGACAAGCAGGCAGTTGGCGTAGTCGAGCCTCGATGTGATGAATGCGTGGATGAAGGTTTCAGCGGCCTGCAGTGTGAGGCAGTGGTGGAGCCGGGCGATGTTGCGGAGGTGGGGGAAGGCAGAGCAAGTCATGACATGAACGTGGGGCAGAAAGGATAGTTGAGAGTCAAACAAGAAGCCAAGGTTCTGGACTGGCTTAGTAAGGTGAAATGTGCATTGTTGTATGGTGATGCTGTCAGGGCCTGAGGTGAGGAGGCACTGACGGGAGTCAATCAGTAGGGCCTCGGTCTTGTTGACGTTCAATTATTGAAAGTTAACTCTTATTCAAGACTTGATGTCTGACAGACATTCGATTGGTCATCCCAGACACAGGGATTCAAAACCTTCCTTCAACATCTCCCGTGTGTGGTATGACTATCAGTCACTTGTATTGAACTGTGGGTTTTCAACCTTGAAACCAATTGATAGTCTTCAATTGTCCATTAAATGATTTGAGAACTTTGATGCTATTTTCTAACCCATTGATGAAAGACACATGGAAAAAAACATGCACTAATTTAGGCCAATTTTAGGACCAAGATTCAGATTGCACCTGAAGACCTTCCTCTTTGATGATGCCTACAGTCAACTCCCCTCTCTCCCCGGCTCAGCGTCAAGCTCCGCCACTGTGAAGCACCTCAAGGCACCTGGGTGAAGGATGCTACATAAATGCAAGCTGTTGTTGTTGTAAAGTGGGAATGTTTTAACATACCACTGAAACAGCATCATCATTAAGACGTCACCCCTCTCGTGAGATAAAAGGAAAGTAATCCGCACTATTAATGCATTTATCTCAGAGTAAGGAGAGCCACTGAGATGAACACATAGAATATAAACAGCAGTGAGACACAGGATGTTGCAAAGTAAATCACTGATCAATATCTAAGTCCATATCCCACTCACGCGCAGAGGGCAAGCAGGATACCATGTCAAAGTGTGATGAAGAGACCTAATTTCAGTAAACCGCCTCTTACAAGCTGTTTATCCTGTTTGTGTCACACCTTTTAGTCGAAGCATCAGCGGGTAGTTCCCAGGATAGCTTGTGGGAGAAATAACACCCGCTGCAACCACCACATGCATGGCATAACTCTAGCCCTCGATAAAAGGAGTAACTTAATTAAAACTAAATCTCAGTTCAAACTGCTACATCACTGAGAAGATTTAAAGGGATTACATTAAAAGCAATCCCTGTATGTTAACATATCGGCAGATGGGAAGAACCAGGAACCAGATGCTAGATGACAAAAAAAATCTAACCTGATAAATGCTTTAAAAAAATGTTGAGAATTAAACAAAAAGGGACTCACACAAAGAACCACAACTTGATTAAAGGAATCCTTTGTATACTCCCTGGTTATTGTTAATTATAACAATCTTTGCATTTGATTATTATGTGCCTATAATGTCAAAATATCTCAAAGTGCTTCATAGGCAATTGCGGTCACTTGAGATAACTGTGTATTTGTCAGTAAATGCCTATAAATTCTATGGTTCTGTGTATAATGCAAGACATTGTTGTTTTGACCAGTGGAGATGGTAGCAGGGCAATTCTCTTCATTGTTCCAAGGGCCAATAGTGCTGACATTTCATTTGACTGATACTTTCCTAGGCTGCTGAGAATAATAATAGTCCTTGCATTTGGTATAGTGCTTTATCACATCTTCTAAGTATCTCAAAGCGCTTCACAGGATATACTGTAAAGGGGATTGACTGTATATTTTATTGGCGAAACGCGGCAGCCAATTGTTCACAGCAGTGTCCCACAAAAAGTTATGGATTGAGTGACCAAATTATTATTTCTTTTTTTTTGAAGGGATTATTACCTCCAGAAAAGCAATCCGCCAATCGACTAACAACCAGGTTCTTACTTACTGTTACGTAAACAGCAGTGTGTGGAGTACAAAAACTTGCCTAACGTTTCGCTCTGCCCAGGAATCGAACCCGGGTCCTCTTGCTTGCAAGATGAGTGCTCTAACCACTACGCTACAGGCCTCCACAATCACGTTTGATTACCTTTCAACTCGCATACCACCAGATCAATTGGTCATGTCCCCACATGGCTGATTGTGGCATCTCACTGCGCACAAGTGGGCGTCTGCATTTGCCAAACAGTCAATTGATGTGACAGCAATTCCCGCTGAAACGCTTTGAGATGTTTCAATATTATAAGCACTTTATCAAATATGAGAATGATAGTTTCATCCATGTCCTCTTCTCACAATGCCTCCTATCATATCCAACCAATTCCAATTATCCTGGTAGTGCTGAAGAAGCGAACTTGTGCCATCCAAGGAATGAGCCCTACCGAGTGCCTGTGGTTGGAACCTGCCAACTATAGTACTTCCAGCGGCTGGTGCGGGTGCCTATTGTACAGTCTGCTGGGTTTCCCTCACACGTACTGCTTGATTGGTTGCTGAATAATGGAGGGTGGGTGTCGTGCGCCTGTCAGATGATTCCTGAGCTACATGTGTGCGTGGGCCGGGGAGGAAGAAGAAAAGAGAAGGGGATAGATCACTGGCAGGAACTCAATTGAATCTATTGTGCTGCTGAAGTACAGCCTGAGTCTAACTAGCTACATCGTGGTTAAGCACTCACCTATCAAGAACTCGACCCAGAACTTGTCCTTTCCCTGAACGTAGGGGCGGTTGAAACTAATTCTGATTTCGAAGCTTTGGCCCCGCCGTACGATTAGGTTGTCGGACTCATACAGATCGGTGCGATGCTGCTTCTTGTTGATGTCATCGGTACCCGGGAGGACATCAACACTCCAAACAGTCAGAAAATCTTTAACAAAAAGTAGAAATAACATGTCATTTCTCGTTCTCTCATTTCAGATTGTAAGTTTGTCACCAGACTGACTGAAGACAATCAGTGTCGCTCCCTGGAAAGAGCACATTCACACAATAAGCATTTTCAAAATTAAATACCGTGTTAGGGGATTTGTGAAAAGATGATTCAATGAAATTCTGGAAATCCCAATCTTTCTTGAAGTGCAAATAAGTTTTTACATGCTGATGTGTTCACCAGAAAAATGTATATTTGTACCAGCTTGCGGTTTACAGTGTAGATAGTATTGTGATAACTCTTCCTATTAATCAGCTTTTAATGAGTGTAAATGTGCTTGCGTCCGTGTTCAATAAGCCATGCTGAGTTCAACAAATTGATTGTGTGTAATCCCGAGGGTTTAAAGCAGAACCATACCAGAAGCAGCGTTTTGTCTAATTTCATGTCCTTGTATCAATGGGCAACTCTGCCACTGTTGATCTTATGTTGCCATTTGTGAAGAACAGCAGAGCAACGGGAATATTTATGACAGGCATCCCTTGTCTCTCCTCTCATGATTGTAACTTGCTCTGTTACCTGAGGAACTGTTAAACCAGCTCATCCAAGGTTTTAGAAGAGCCTCACTAGGTGTTAGATTGGAAATGAACGTGAGGTTAATTCATTCAGGACAATTTTTCTACGACCACAGAGTTCAGAAAAGAATCAATTTAAATCTCATCCCAGTTGTGACAGGCAAATCTAAGAGACGAGTTGGCCAGCCTGCCACCACCTAATCACTTTTCACTATGATAGGAGACCACAACTCATTAAAGGAATGTCTTCCAGTTTACTCAATATTCTAGTAGCAGTGTGGTGTAGTGTTTTGAACAGATTTTTCTACTCTGAAGAATACTACACATGTTAAGCATTGATTTTCATTAACCCTCAGTCTCCTATACATAGATTTCTACTGTGTAGTCAACTGGATCGTCAGAGGGCTGAAGGTCAAGTGAACAAGTTTCATAACTATTATCAGAATAATTTACTTTGAGAGGTTTCCCACTTCTTACTACCAGAGGAAGGTTTAATGTAGTCATTTTCATGTCCTGCTGTTTTGTCATAGAATATGTGACTTGAGTCACCTCAATTTCCATTTATGAAAGGAAATAAAGCTCCATTGGTACCATCTGCCTGCTTCAGTGGCAGTGTAACTCCTTTGAAGATGATGCAGTAATAAGGCAACATGCAGAGAGCTCTTGTTTAAAGACATACCTGCTTCCCTGGTTCTGCATTTACAACAGATGATATGCTAATTACTCCAGAGGTCACATTCAAAGCACTCCTGCTGCACAGAATGTCACGTGACACTTTCGTTCTTCAAAGATAATTCTACCTGCTTATTGGAACCATTTTATCTGCAGGAATTGTTTCATAAAAGCATTTTTATTCCCAAGGGAACTATCCCACTGTGTCTGCCACTGCAACAAAGTAACAGTTTAAAAATCCATCAGAGAATTATTCAGGACAATTTTGCTGCCACCACTTGAGATACTGACCTAACTGCTTAAGAGTTGGGCCACTATCCTATTAAACGACCCTAAAATGTTGTACTTTCTGATCCAACAAGGTTGGATGAAGTGCTAAAGGTTTAATAATAATCCTTGCATTTGATATAGCGCTTTTCACGTCTTCTAGACATCTCAAAGCGCTTCATAGAATATACTGTAAAGTGAATTGACTTTATATTTGTGGGCGAAACGCAGCAGCCAATTGCACCAGCAATGTCCCACAAACAGTTGTGGATTGATTGAGTTTTTTTTTGTTTGTTTTTTGAAGGATTATTATCCCCAGAAAAGTGATCCGCCAATCGCCTAACAACCAGGTTCCTATTTACTGCTAAGTAAACAGAGGCGTGTGGAGAAGGAAACTTGCCCAACATTTCGCCCTGCCGGGGATAGAACCCAGTCTCTCACTTGCGAGGTGAGTGCTCTAACCACTGAGCTACAAGACTCCATTAAGACAATATTCTGGGAGGTAAATCAAGATGCTAAACAATACAATTACTGACCTTTTTGACATTTATTCCAGACACTGGGCAAGTTGCATGTGTAGCTGGAATACATATGTTGATCTGTCAGTTTGGTTTGAATACTCATAAGCAAGGTGATGGGTTTCCATGTGCGTCAGACACCCGGCTGACCAAAACAAAATATATTTGGACAGCAGGATGTGCGTGCTTTGGCCTGGCTTTTGGTATGCTGATGGGACTCTTACAAATTGTTTTCTGCATTTACTGTAACTGTGTAGGATTCTAACCTAAAAAATGAGTAACTCTCTCCGACTTTGGGTGTTATTTTTGATGGTTTTATATTGCATTCGGAAAATGAAAACTAAACATGCTTTTTTGTTAAGAAAAGAGGCAATTCTACATTATTCACAAGTTTCATAAGTTTTATTTGGCAACCAGGACATGAATGAACTAAACAGTGGAGGATTTCATGTTCCCAGTTCTCTCTTCAATTATGCTGCACTCGTAGTTAAATTGACAAAGAGGTTGCTTCTTTACCGGAGTGTCCTAAACTGTAGTGCTTCCAAATGCTGAAGGGCCAAATTAGTCTTTCTGAAAATGTGCCCTGACCTTTTCTTATTTTTTATGACTGTATTTTATGACTTCTGTTAACCTAAGAGTGGCAGCCAGTGGAGACTGGCAAAGCTTGCATCAAGGCTCTGGTAGCAAATCTTATGCTGTGTCACTCAGGGTGAAGTGACTTCATACAACTGGCGTTTTGATTGCTGCACTGCTGAACATTAGAGGAGACAACCAGGTAAATGAGGTTGATCACTGTGGACCCCATTCACTGTGTATGCACATAGTTGCCCTGCTTGCTTCTCATGCCCGCTGGCTTTTTAATGTTAAAATAATAATAATCCTTTCATTTGACATAGTGCCTTATCACATCTTCAAGATGTCTCAAAGAACTTCACAGGATATACTGTAAAATGTAGTGACGAAACGCAGTAGGCAATTGTGCACAGTGATGTCCCACAAACAGTTGAGCATTGAGTGACCAAATTATTATTATTATATTGGAGGGATTATATATTTAGTTAGTGTTAGTTAGAATTTAGTTGGAAAATGGCAAATTTCTGGTTTGTTCATTAAATCGATTTGAGGTCACTTCCTGGGCAAATTAGATAGTGGCATTGGGAGGGGCCTAATGACCTGAAAGTCAGCAATTTTTACCTTCCCTCACTCTAAAAAAATGACTAACCTCTACTTTGTGGGTCACTAACAACATTACTTTCTGCTTTGTCCATGCACAGAAAACAGGAAGTAATGTGATGAACCCAATGAACCAGAGGTCATCTTCATTTTCAACATATATTAGGTCCCTTTGAGTCTTCACATATTACTTGATCTCCCTCTTATTGTTATATTGAAAGTTTTTTTTTAATCTGTGCTGCTATGTGCTTTTCTAGGTCTCTCTTACCAAGGAATTCTCAGTTTGGTTTGGATATTCTTAAGCCTGGTATTGGGTTTTACCGCATGTGTCAGACACGCGGCTGACCCCCCCCAAAAAAGTGACACATTAATGTTAAGATAGTACAAATATTTATGTGACAAGGCTTCACATGGGTTCATGATTTGTTTATTGATCAAATACACACATTCGCATAGACACACTTGCATGATACACACATACACAAATTTTTGGTGCTCTGAATCTCATTCCACAAGATTCTAAAAACATCTAATATTGCTACGGTTTTTGTTGTTCTGGTGTGGTCTTGTGGCTCTATAGAATGGTCTCCTTTGATAGGAAAGAAATGTGCAGCTGAGTGAACAGTATATTTAATCTCGATCTGAAAGCTGTATATTTTTAAACCAGGTTTAATAATCTAACTTGACTTGCTCACCCAGCTACATTTAATCATCTTGATATTATAGTTCCATATTAAATATTAAATAAGTGTTCTCAGGAGATGCTATAATATTGAACACAAATACATTAAATCAGTAGCTATAGTATAGTGGCTGCTTCTAGTTCATTATATATTCTCTCTCCTATTTCTTTCCTCTTACCGTAGATTTACATGTCAATGCGTTTGCAGAACCTAAAGGTTATACAACATAGGCTAAAAGGTGTATCAAGAAAGTATCCTCATGATAATTAAACCTTGATGATACCATTAAAGTAATACATGCCAATACTGTATTTTATAACAGATTTAATATTTATCAAATATGTGCTTGAGGAAGATGGGAATAGAAGGGTATAGCAGAGGGCATTAGGAGTCTCATGTGGGATATAAACACTGGTACAGACTAGTTGGGCCAAATGGCCTGTTTTAGTGCTGTAACCTTCAGTGTAATTGTATGTTATTGAATCTTACAACCACCACATTTTTCAGCCTTAACCAAAAAAAACCCTTATTATTATTCTCATTGCCTCACAGTACTTGCTCTTCTCTCTATTTACCGAGAACAATTGTTTCTAATTTACGTGGTCAAAACATTGTGCGCTGAAATAATTCGATCACCGGATAATTAAATTAATGGGATTAAAATTATAGATGAGAGATTAAATAAAGGTGCTACAGTTGCTAGATATCATACTGTGTGACATAACATTAGCTGCAGTGCTTAGGTTTTGGGGTTTAATTTTCTTATGAAATTATTTGCTGCCCTTATCTTTTCCTGAGGTCCACCCTCCCCCCTACCAATTGCACACATTTTCCAATCAAGAGAGTCAGGAGGTTATCACAGTTGCTCTTGAACTTGGTACTAAGAGATAAGAGAGAACAAACTAGGATGGCTTAGTCTCTGATTTCCCCAATCTTCTGATAATAATCTTTACATTAGGTATAATGTCTTTCATATCACGAGCACATCTCAAAGCGTAGTGACTGTGTATTTTGTGGGCAAACGCGGCAGCCAATTTGTGCACAGAAATGTCCTCAACCACCATGAAGTTGAATGACTGGGATGCTATGCCGGCTATGCCCATCCAACCAGTTAGAGCTTTAGTTTGCAGGGTTAACATGAGCTGAGTGCGAAGAATACCTGCTCTCAGTGACTGGTGTGCTCAGATGAGCTAGGCTGGCTGGGCTATCATCAGCAGTGCCCTGGAATACTTTGGGCCCATCTGGCTCAGGAACCGGACTACCACAAAGGCACGAATTCAAAAACAAAAGCTGGGAATGAGTTCATCCCCAAGGACCCTCCACCGAGAATAGGTCTGTCTCATTTTAACATTAATTTACTATGTCTCTGTTTCTTTTTAACATTACTGCCTACCTCATCTCCTGCAAAGTGTCAATTTGATATTAATCTTGGTTGTCATCATTGGAAAAAAAAAGCCTTTAATAGTCAAAGCTACATCAGGGGAACTGCTGGTTACAATGTTCGGCAAAGGTCAATTGTGACATGACAAACAGCAGCGTTATTCAGTCCAGGTTATCCATTGGTATGTTATAAATATTATATCCGTGGGGATCGTTGATATGTATTCTCTAATTATGAAGTGGTTCTAATCTCTGCAACAGTGTGATACCAATTTCTTAATGGGACTAAATGTTTTCTTCCAGTCCTCTTGTGGTGAAGAGAACAGATGGGCAACTTCCTCCCAGCTGTCTGGACAAGTTACAATTTTCTTGGAGCTGGCTACGAGGGGGTATTAGCAGCCTGCGTGTAACCTGACATCTGAACTTTGCCCTACAATCAGTACTCTGATTGCCTGTATTTACTGCTTTTCCCCCAAATGCGGGGAAATTTGTTCCTTATTTTGTGACTGCAGAAGGCACAAGCGGGAAGCTGCCCGTACATTTTTTAGATCAAATTGAAACACTAATTATTTTCCACAAAATAAGCAGTGCCATCAGAGCATCAACAACAAGAAAACAAAACACAAAGAATGTATTTTTGTTGCCTCCCAGAAGACTCTCTCTCTGATCTTATTTTTTTTCACTTTGCATATTTCTTCTAACTTCACAGCTATCTACTGTAGCATTTCCTCTATGTCTCTTCTCTCTAGACCTAGTTTCTAATGTGCCAATTGATTCTATCATCAGACCACCACTGACATATTCATCTGCCAATCTAAAAGTGAGTATTCATCACAAATAAAAAAAAGTTTAACTTTTTTAAAAAATATAAAAACAGGAATGAAATAACTGGTAAATTTAAAGCAANTTTTTTTAAAGGATATGGAATGCTCTGCTGGGAATGGTGGTTGAGGCAGAATCTATATTGGCCTTCATGCTGGAAATTCTGGACTTCCTCGAGTACAAAATCGAGGGAATCTGCTCAGCTGCCACTGCCCTCCCAACATCCAAGCCCTCCCTACACCCCATCCCACACTCCGACCCCTACCCATCCCTCCTTCCACACCTTTGAACCTGTCACTCCCTCCTCTGTCATCACTACCATATCCTCCATGAAGTCCACCACCTGGACCCCATCCCCACCCCTCTCCTTAATCCCAACTCCACCTCCTTGCCCCACTACTCGCTGACATCATCAACCTCTCCCTGTCATCTGGCACTGTTCCTCCCCCCCCCCCCCGTCAAAACAGCCACCATCACCCCCACCTTGAAGAAACCTTCCCTTGACACATCACAGCTATCCAGCTGCCGGCCCATCTCCCACCTCCCTTTTCTGTCTAAGGTCTTTGGGAGAGCCATTACCTCCCAGCTTCGCTCTTTCCTCTCCTTCAGTCAGCCTCCCACCTCTCAGCCTTCCCTCACCCCTCCCCCATGCTCAGGTCCTGACCCCTGACTGTCCAGAGCCTTGGGACATCCACCTGACGTAAATGTAATTTTGTTGTTGTGTTGTTGTTGTTGTTCATGAGGGAACTAGACAGATACTTTAAAAAGGTATGGGGAAGGACAAGTAAATGAGACTGAAAGGATTCCTCTTGAGGGAACCAGCACAGCCACAATAGGCCGAATGACCTTCTTCTACGCCGTAAATGTCTATGGCTCTAATCTTGGTGGCTATATTTGATACTATTTTTAAAGCAATTTTCAAGCCTATTACTGGTGCTCCTGATAGATTTATGTCACTGGCGAGTGTTCTGAAATGGCCATAATCCTGGTAATTTGTATCCTAGGTTGTGTATAAGCAATTTCAGTTCAATGTTCTTCATCGGCAAATGTGTAATGAAGTTTGACATGAAGCTGCCTCACCTGTCTTCTCCAGCAAGCAAAGGCACGCAGATCCACACTTATGCTGCCAGCTCGTTCTAATCATTATTTAGAGCGAGCCAACTGTGTTGTGGTTAGTCTACTTTTCTGTTATGCATGTCTAATACCATCAGTTCCACCAGTCAAATACAGCAGTTAAAATCAACAACAAAAATACATTTGTATAGCCCCTTTCACATCGAGAGGACGTCCCAAGGTGCTGGACAGACAGAGTTACGGACCTGAGCTGGGGGTCAGGATAGGAGAGGAGGGAGGGCAGGGGGGAAGCAGGGAGATTGAAAGCACGGTCGAAGAGGGGGTCTTGAGGTGGGTCTTGAAGGTGGCGAGGGAGGGGGGGGGAGACGGAGGGACTGCAGGATGGAGTTCCAGAGGGTGGGTGCAGAGTGGCGGAAGGCCCGACCACCGATAGTGGGGCGAGCAAGGCGGGGGACGTGAAGCAGGCCAGAGCCCGCTGAGCGGAGGGAGCGAACAGGATGGTAGGGGGTTCGGAGAGGTAGTGGGGAGCAAGACCATGGAGGGTTTTGAAGGTGAGGACTAGGATCCTGAATTGTATTCTCTGTGTGATGGGAAGCCAGTGGAGTTGGGCAAGGATGGGGGTGATAGGGTCATGGAGCCTGGTGCAGGAAAGGACACGGGCTGCAGAGCTCTGGATGATCTGCAGCCTGTGGAGGGAGGAGTTGGGGAGGCTGACAAGCAGTGAGTTTGCATAGTCGAGCCTCAATGTAATGAAGGTTTCGGCGAGGGTTTCAAAATCATTCTATTAGTCATGAGTAAATCAGTCAGCATAAAGGAATCTCCTTTCTTAAATCAACATGATGTTAATTGATCAAACATGACTTTAAGAAGCACCTCAAAAATCCTTATAAACTCCTCAAAATACATTTTAATCCATCTCCCAAACATATACTCACAAATAGATATCATGAGGTGAACTAAAATATGAATGACAAATATTGTACAGTAATCAATGGATGTGATCACATTCAACATAAAATAGATCATTTGCAAAGGGTTAGGCATGGGGATTGATTTTGTGGCATGTTTTAATGGGATCCTTAATCATTGGGAAATGTAAAAGACCTTGGCAGGTGAGCAGGCTGATTCTGGGCTGATTATGACATTTGCCATCCTTGGAGGCATGAGTTTATAATGAGAGTTTGAGAATCATAAGAGAATAAGATATGGTCCCCCAGCAAGGCTGGTAAATGTACCAAAGACTGGAGAATGGTCCTTTGGGATTACTTGGAAGACGTACTACAACAGACATATAGACACTGCTGCACTAAAACCAAGGCAAATATAGAGCTGTGTGTTCATCATTGCCATTGGATCACTTGTATGTGTACAATACATTGGATCACTTGTATGTATACAATATGTTGACAATATGAGTGGATAATAATAATAATAATAATCCTTGCATTTGTTATAGCGCTTTTCACGTCGGGAGGACGTCCCAAAGCGCTTCACAGAATATACTGTAAAGTGAATTGACTGTATATTTGTGGGCGAACGCGGCAGCCAATTGCGCACAGCAATGTCCCACAAACAGTCGTAGATTGAAAATGACTACTGGATGCTGGGTGAAGGCAGGATCAGGCTCCACTTTGATGTTTCCTGCTGTTAAATGCCTGGATATACTCACTGTCAAGATTCACACATGAATAATTTAAACCATACCTGAAAATTTATAGTATAAAATGTCATTCTACATATGGAGTAATGAATGAAGGAGGCTGTGGTGATAGATTATCAGAGAGCAATTCAAAAACCTTAATGTGATTATCTCATAATAGTAGCTAAGTGAAGAACTGATATATGAAGTTAACGTTTACTGTATTTATGCCATATTTAAATTCCTATTGAACTTGCTGTTGCTACTTTATCAGATAGCTACCAATTCGTCGTCAGCAAATGACCTGCATGGCTGAAACAAGGGTTTTTCAAACAGGGTTAATGTGCGAGGGATACACTAAATTATTCAATGTCATGTCTTGACAGCTGCAAGCGCAGGATCTTTTCTGTGCTTCTGTCTAGTCTCTCATTGACATTCGTTAAGTGCAACAAGTGATTGATAATCTGACATTATCTGGTTAGTCCACTGTAGACGCAAGTCCCTTGCACTAAAATTGCACCATTGTCTTGTTTCCCCTGTGCCCATCCCAGAATTAAAGCCGCTAACTGTGATGCACCTTTTGACCAGTGCTGTAACTGCTTCATTTCATCAGATTGTTGTTTAGTGACACACTCAGTGAGTTGGCTTCAGATATCACAACAATTTTACAGTAGCAAGTAATACAGGAGATTTCCCGACGTATTATTGTCTACCTGATCAGCTTTTTCTAACCGAGTTAAAGAAGGTGATCAGTTTGGTGAAATTTAAGATTTACTTTCGGTCATCAACGTGCGGAAACCCATCACCATGCTCAAGAGTATCCAAACTAGACTAAGAGTTGCACATATGTTTGCAGCGTATGCTTGCAAACTTCCATGTCTGGAATGGAATGCATACTCTCTCCCTGGAGGAACGTGTCTTGTTCATCCTATTTCGGAGTGTTACATACTGGTTGACAAGTACCAAGATCTGGGGGACTCCAGAGTACAAATTTGATACAGATAAAACTGTATTAATTGACATTTGGTTTATTTAAGCATTATCAAATCCTTTGGTATAAAATTCTGGAACAGTGTACATTTGCCCACCTTTGATGGGCATGTTCAAATTACCTGTAAGATTGGGTGGTGATCTGGGAACAGCCCCAAAGAACTCAAAGTCTGGCATTGAATTCTCCTCGCCATTGGAGATGTTGGAGGGGGTGATCCTACGACCAACATGTGAAGTTGAGGGCCTCGTGTTCGAGTCAGCACCGCTGGGTTCAGACATTTAACAAAATTCACTGAAACCACACAAAATGAGCCGAGTCAGATAGATTAGGCCAATCGTTTTGGTTGGCCAACATAATGACACAATAACATATATTATTGCCACAAATCAAGAAATATTCATTCAAGAAACATTTATTTTGTTGGCCAAGCAAACAAGTTGCCTGTTTTCACAGATTGGCTAATACAGTGGTGGCGAACCAAAGAAACCGGATTAGCCAATCTGTGAAAACTATGAGTCAATCAACAGCTGGACGGAAACCACAATGGATATAGCATGTAGGTTAAGACTTCCACTTAAGACCTACAAGAAGTACATATTTAATCATCTTTTCCCTCCCCCCACCCTCAGCTCCAACTCCCAGTTTGGGTGCCCAACCATTATTATTAAGCACATTGAGGCTACCTCCCCATGTGAAAGGCGCCATATAAATGTAAATTTGTATTGTATGTATCATGCATTGTTGGCACTAATACAGCTCATGCAGCACTAACTGTGATGCCAAAGTGGAGACACTACAGCCCAGCACAATTTATCCTGCAGCCGCCCCTTTCCCATTTGCAAAATTTGCCTTTGTATTTACGAAGAATGCACCAGCACCGCTATCCTTCGGCTTGCTCCAGCTCCAAACCAACAACACCTTGTACTTATATAGCGTCCCTCATGCAGAGTAACGTTCCAGAGCGCTTGACAGTGGTGGAGCACGATGCTGAGCCGGAGAGAGGGGGGAGGTTTGAAGCGCTCTGAGACGCTGTCCGGCGTGGAGGGTGCTATATAAATTCAATTTCTTGTTGTTGTTAAGGTGACTGTAAGCACGGTCGAAGAGGAAGTTCTTCAGGGGAGAACTGAAGATGAGGAAGGAGGGGATAATGTGGAGGGATTAATAATAATAAAATAATAATCCTTGCATTTGATATAGCACCTTATCACATCTTCGAGACATCTCAAAGCAATTCACAGAATATACTGTAAAGTGAATTGACTGTATATTTTGTGGGCGGATTGGGGAAGAGTGTTTCAGAGTTTCGGGGATGGAGATGGAGGCAACTGGCTTTGTGGGCAGCAGCCAACTCAACTCCTGAAGCGGTCTGGAAAAATGCGATCTGGTGAAATTCAGACTCTTTACATTTCAGGCTACCTCAGAGTTTACTTTCTGTAGGTAAACAGTGATGCAAATGGATATGCAGCTCACAGTTATCCTCCAAGGAATATATTCCTCTCACAAACAAAGCAATTGTTTTATCCAGGAAACCTTTTTTTTTAAAAAAACAAAGTTGGAATGTGAAAAAAAATGCATCTCCCTTCCAAGTTTATCGTGATTATTTTCTTACCAAATGGTGCCTCTGGCTCAAAACATTGTTTTCATAATAATGCAGCAATAAAATCTGAACTATGATAATTACATAAATGCAGATATAAAAGCAGAATACGGAATTATTTTGGAATATCTTTGCCCTGGACCTCTGTATGATGTACATTCTTGCTTGTAAATGTCACCAAAGCCCAATAAATAAAAACATACTGGCAAAGTCAACAAACTGAAAACTATCAAATGGTGACAAATATGGTATAGCAACACATATTTGCAGAGGGTAAATGCATACAAAACAAATTGCAAACTTCTGTAACTGGCTGTCGAGATTCTGCTCGTGAATCTTTCTGTTAACATCAACCATTAAACTGCACAGTTCCTGAATGATGAAAACATGTGCAAAAAGGCATTTAGACTCGCTATGCAGAGTGGGTTCTGGGGATAATACAAACAACACATTAAATATCCAAGTCAGCAATGTGCTGACTGGAAATAAATCTGGCATTAAACTGGATCCAGATGAAACGGGAAATATAATAGCATTATCCTACAGCCCAACAAGGAGCACTGTATTCATGTGGTAAACTTCACTCTCCCAAACAAAAACCTGCTGTTTTATTTTTGCTGCAGAACACAATAATCTGGCAGAGAAATACATATTTTGAAAAGAAAATGACATAGAGAAGAGGCACCGGGGTAAAGAGTATGTATTGTCCTCAGATCACACCGTGGACAGAGCAAATCTAAATGCCTTTTGCACAAGTTTGCATCTGTCTGGATCTGTGTAATTTTTTTGTGGCTGGAGTTAAGAGAAAGAAGAATCTCCACAGCAGTCAGTATAAAGCACCAACACACAACCATCGTTCACCCCCAATGCTGAAAGCTGAATAGCAAGGTTGCAACCCAACTAAATCACTGAGAGCTCTTTAACTCTTATCAGTGTAACAGCAAAAACATCAACAACTCGCTTACATAAAAGTTCAGTTCAAACGAAATGATCCAAGACAGGATCTAAAAATAAACACAATTCCAACTGCGACCAACAGTTACCTGGAGCCTGGCTGCAGAGCCAGGCAGGGATCTGGGTTGATGGAGGGAGAGACTGGGTCGCACACTCACTTGTCTGGTTCAGCAAAAGTTGGTGCAGATTCCAACTGGTGCTTCTCTCCAAATTATATGGAACAACAAGGGCCAGCCACTCCCCTCCCTCCCCTCACCCACCCACCCCCTTGCAATAAGCAAGAGGAATGTAACTAAGTCAGTTTTCCAGTTCTGCGGTTAGGGTATAACAATTAACTAACAAGTACTGCTCTGTGCTATTCTGTCCTTTCCAATAGATCACACACATCATTACATTCATTTCATCCCGTTACAGCACTAACACTCATCTCCTGGGTTGCTCACAATTGCAGTTAATTTAAGTATGCAACGACGCATTGAAGCTTCAAAGGATACGTCTAGACAGTGATGATAACATTTATACGTGGAACAAATTATTGAAAGAATCATTGAGATTACAGAATAGGAAAATATAATTTGCTTCATCAAACCTATGCTGGTGCTACCTAATTCATTGGAGCTAACTACCATAACTCCGATTCCCAGCTGTTTCCTCTTTTTGCATTTTTTGCATGTTTCCTCATTAAATGATTATCTGATTCTCCTTTACATGTTTTTTATTTTTATGGTCAACATTCCTGTTGTACTATGCAAAGGCTATTTAAGGAAAAGAACTCCGCTGGATTAAATATGCTTCTCGTCTTGGATTTTATCACCTTTTCGAAGGAGACAGNAAAAACGTTTAAAGAGCTTTCTCTCAGGAAGTTTAAAGTAAGTGGAATTTGAGTCAGTGATGGGACAGATAGAACAGATTTTCCATATGATCTGCAGAAGGAGCTAGCTTGATGGGTGCAAGAGGCAATTTAATATTATTTAGATATCCTTTCATACAATACCATTTACATTTATATAGCGCCTTTCATTTCAGAAGGACACCTCAAAGCGCTTAAAATATAAATTGTAATCAATATAATATAACTTGTATATCCTCCAAGAATTGTCTCAAAAGCAGATTGTCACCCCCACAGCTAGTCGATAATTATTCAATAATATAATCAAATGTTTCACCCCTATATAACTGTACATAACTGTAGGTCCCCCGGCAGCCAATTGTGCAAAGTGGTATGCCACAAACAGACATGGATTGATTGACCAAATTATTATTATAATTTTTTATAATATTATTATTAATATTAATGGATTATTACCCCCGGAAAGCGATCCACCAATCAACTAACAACTGGGATCCTATTTACTGCTAGGTAAGTAGAAGTGTGTGAAGTAAGGAAACTTGCCTAAGGTTTCGCCCTGTCCAGGAATCGAACCTGGATCCTCTTGCTTGCGAGGTAAGCTACATGACTCCATGATGTATTTTCATGTATGTGGATGATATTCAAATTTACTTCTCCTCCTCCAGCTGTGACTCCAGGTCTGCTGATGTTCTGTTAGCTCGCTTGTCAGACATCAAGGCCTGGATGAGTGCAAACTTCCCGCAGTTGAATAATGACGAGACAGAAGCCGTTCTCTTTTGGCTCCCATCAATGTTTTCTCTCTGGCGGTTCTGACCTCTTAAACCTCCCCGACCTATCCTGAACCTTACAGAAACTGCGCGTGACCTAGGCGTCAAGTTCGCCCTCCAACTTTGCTTCCTACCCCACATCTGTTCCCTGACCAGGACCGCTTTCCTCCACCTCCGCCACATTGCCCTCCGACCGTAACTCAACCCAACACAGCCGAAACCTTCAGCCACACTTTTGTCACCACCCACTAGTTCAATGCCCTCCTCGTCAGTCTCCCAGAATTGTCTGTATATTCACCACATTAAACGCTGCACCCCCATCACACCAGTCCTTATGAGGTTCCACTGGCTCCCAATTGCAGAACAGATCAATATGAAGATCCTCACACTCATCTACAATCCTTTCATACCACGGCACCTCCCTAACTCTCCGACCTCCATTCCTTACTCCCCACTCCATTATCCCACAAATAGCCGTAAAGGAAGTGACCAATTTTATCAGGAGGAATGTTGGCCAAGACACTTGGAAAAACTCCCTTGTTGTTTCAAATACTGCTATGGGATCTTTAATGTCCACTGAAGCAGGCAGATGGGACCTTCGTTTAATGTCTCATCTGAAGGATGGCACCTCCAAAAATGCAGCACACTTTCAGCACTATATTGGGGTGTCAGCCGAGACAGAAACTACCTCTGACAACACAATATTCCCCCAGCATTGCACTGGAATGCTAGTCTAACTACACGCTCAAAGTGTAGGACACAAACCCATGCCCTTCCGACCTCAAAGACAAGAGTGCTACCAACAGCGCCAAGCAAGATGCGTAAACTACAAACTACAATAATATTGTGAATGTTACACAAGAAGGTTTCATGATGGAAATATGATGTAACTTGAAATTGTACGGAGATTAAGTATCTGATATACAACATAATGACAGAATTTATTACAAACTTGTTAACTGGGTAGATTTGTTTGTTGTTGAATTTTGTTGAATCTGCAATGTTAATACAAAACATCCTTTCAACAAGATCCACAGACAATTTCCAAGCGACTGATTCAAGACCTTAGGGTTCTTAAGCAATAGATTAATCGCAAAGGTTAACTAATTAGAGCAGCACCATTTGCGATTGAGTAAATAAAATGAAAAACACTGTGACATTGTTGGCATGTGCCATGACATTCTGTTCCAGTCACTAAGTGTTGAATGTGAGATGTCAAGTTCCTTCATCCACACATGCCTCCTGCTTCAGAAGCATTAATGGAAAACAAGGTTAGCTGTTAACATCACCTGCTAAGATGCTTTTAAAATCAGCAGCTAGCTAGCTTAGCATTTATTTCAGTTGACGGAGTAAATTACAAAGCAAACTTTTAGCGGTCTGCTACTGATGCCAGCAAAAAAGGTTTACTGTGATCTGTCAAAGTCAACTTGCTCCTTCAGGACCTTGGGATGTCCTACCAACGTGAAAGGCTCTTTACAAATGTAATTTGTTGTATTTTGTTGTTGCTTGTGGGCAAGAGTGTAACTGTTTCTACTCTCTGGTGAAGTGTTCTTGGCTGAACATCGACTGAAAATGAAGAACTTTGTCCTTTTTGAGTTGTCTGGTTGGAGAAAATTGAAGTTTTTGCGCGATTGTAACTCTCATTCCTCTCCATTTCCCCAAGGTTTAAAGTACAAAGGATGCTGGGAACTGTAACTGCACAATGCACAGCAGGTTAATAATAATTATTACCGTTGATATGATGCCCATATCATCAAAACAACTCAAGCGCTTCACCCGTCAAGAGAGGTAACTGTGTGTTTGTAGGCAAACATGGCAGCCAATTTACACACAGACAACCATTGACATGAATTTACCTGTGGGTGGCAAGAACACAAGGAAAAACTCCCTTTTCCTTTTTAATATTGCCACAGGATCTCTAACATCCGCCTCAATAGGCAGATAGGACCTTAGTTTAACGCCTTATCCAAAGGATGGCATCTCCGATAAACCAGAACTCCCCGAATACTGCTCTTAAGTGTCAGCCAAAGCTAAACATTGAGTCTTGAGTTCAACCATATCTTTCTGCCCCAGAGCTAAGAGTGCTGACAACTAAGCCAAGCTGACACTTGGTTTGTCATTCATACATCCTTTTTTCTATCTTTCCTCTAGAATCTCTTATATGCTTGGTAGTCTCTTTCCTTTGCTCACGCAAAGTTCCCCGGTCAATTATTGGACTTAGCTTTATAATAATAATAATCCTTGCATTTGATATAGAGCCTTATCACATCTTCAAGACATCTCAAAGTGTTTCACAGAATATACTGTCAAGTGCATATTTGGTGGGTGAATTTATTATACTGAAGATCATACAGCCATAACAAAGGCAGCCCCTCTCCCAATTTAAACTGGGTACTAATATCCATCAAGTGTCATGAAGCGTCTCTAATAGAACTAAACCTCACAAAGTAAGGAAATTATTTATCAGTGAACCTAAGGTAGAAACGGTCACGGAAATGAGGACTGAAATAGCATAAAGGTTGACTGAATGCATGGTCATAGAGGAAGGTTTTGAGATGGGCCTTTAAGGAAGTAAAGGAAGGGGCGAGGCAAAGGGTTTTCTGGATGGAGTTCCAGAGGGTGGGGGCAGAAAGGCTGAAGGCTTGTCTGCTGATGATGAGGGAGGCCGGGTGGAGGACATGGAGCAGGCCAGTACCCGGGTAGGGGAAGGAGCGGGAAAGTTGGTAAAGTGGTCACAGGTCACAGAAGTAGGTAGGAGCAAGACCAAGGAGGGCTTTAAAAGTGAGGACGAGGAATTTGAACTCTATCCTCTGGGGTTGGGGGACTAGTGAAGCAGTCTGAGGATGGGGTGATTGATTCACTGAGCTTGGTGCGGGAGAGGACAAGAGGAGCAGAGTTCTGAATGATCTGCAGCTTGTGGATGGAACAGTTGGGAAGACCAATAAGCAGGGAGTAAGCGTAGTAGAGCCTGAACATAATGAAAGCACGGATGAGGGTCTCGGTGGCCTGAGGGGAGAGGTAGTGGTGGAGACAGCAGTATTAGGGAGGTGGGGCAAGGTAGAAGGACTCAATATACGGATATGGGGTTTAAAGAACAGCTGAGGGTCGAACAAGACATCAAGGTTCCCTACTGTCTCGGTGAGGTGGAGTGTCCATCCATGAATAATGTTGCTTCAGTGCCTGAGGTAAGGAGGAGCCAAGCAAGTGGGCCTCTGTCTTGTTGACATTCAACTGAATAAAGTTGTGATTGAGGCAAATACCTTAAAAAGGGAGCAAGACAAATACCTTAAAGAGTCAGCACAGGAGTTTGGGGAAAAGGCATGAGTATAAATACACTTAGAGCATCATCTGGATGCTAGGTTTGGAAATGAACCGGGCAGATGTGGCAAGCAAAAGAAACCACTAGACAGACAGGAGACACTGGAGATAAAGGGAGGAGAGAATGAGGAAAACAAGTAAACTACAGCTATAAATGTCTATAAATAGTCATTACACTTCGCAGTAAATGATGTGAAATCTTTTGAGATATTTTGACAACATGAAAAGGCGCAACATCAAATGCACAGTTTCATTATTATTATTATTTTAGATGTCAACTTGG